ATTCTTTCATTTACAATTTGCACTCTTAACAGGTGTCTGTTCAGAGGAACTCCGCAGAGCTGATCTGATGATTGTGAGGGATTATTGATCCTGCATCCTGACCTCCATGGCTGTTTATGAAACAGACTGTCATACAGTCAGAGCAAGGACCAAAGCCAAATCCCCTTTATGTCACCTGAGATGAAGAAGTCACTAGAAAAGCCGTCAATCTTCTTAGGGGCAGCTGCATAATGACCCCACTCACTAGCCTTGCTGTGTGTTAGCTAACTGATAAAACTAAATGTTAGCCCAACACCTCTGATGATCTTCCCTGCTGCCCTTTAATATGTTGACACCATGTTGAAACCTTAACTTAACAGTGACGTAATAGCTTTTGCCATGTCATCATGACAAACACAATTTACTGAAAGCAGCAGAAGGAAGCCAGATACTTCCTTGTCTCCCTTTTTCCCCCTCTTACCGATCAAAGTAACAGGCGTGCCGTACTCCAGGGCTGAAATGGCCGTCCACTTCCCTGTGCCTTTCTGTCCGGCACTGTCACGGATCTTGGGCAGCAGATGTGAACCATCAGATTCCCTGTATTTAAGGATGTTGGCTGTGATCTCGATCAGGAAGGAGTCTAACTCCGTCTTGTTCCAGCTGTCGAAAGCCTGAGTGTTTCAGCCACAGTGTGATAAGATGATATGATGAAATAAATTCAGACCCTTTTTTTTTTTTTTTTTTTTAAAAACAATTGATTTTACAGAACTGGAATGGCACAACAAATACATGTCAAGATTACATCATACAGGTATAACAAGCTCACCTTTGCCATCTCATCATGGTCCATACCCAGAACATCCTTCATCAGGTGATAGGCTTCACAGATCAGCTGCATGTCACCGTACTCAATGCCATTATGGACCATTTTCACAAAATGTCCTGCACCCTCATCTCCAACCTGCAGAAGCAAACCAGACAGAGTATTTGTGAGATGACGTCATGTACCAATAGCTTCTACATCCTTGCTAATCAAGTTAGTAGTAAGTATTATGTGCACTGAAAAAATCCTCCACTCACCCAGTCACAACAAGGTTCTCCTGTTCCAACCTTGGCAGCGATGCCCTGGAAGATGTCTTTTATGTGTGGCCTTAAAATGGAAGCAACAGCTAGTGTTTCAAATTTACAGACGTGGATAAATAAACCCTCTAAAGAGTCGAGTAGAGTTTGTGATGACTCACCAGGCCTCTTTATGTCCTCCGGGCATGAGTGAGGGTCCATAACGTGCCCCTTCCTCTCCACCACTGACTCCACTTCCGACAAACAGCAAGCCCTTCTCTTTCAGACTATTACACCGCCGCTGTACAGCAGAAACACACAAGAACTATGAGCATATACTCAGTTAAGTTTAAAAATTTTCTGCTAAGCAGTGATTAACATCTACTTACTGTTGTGTCTCTGTATTCAGAGTTGCCTCCGTCGATGATGATATCCCCGGCCTCAAGAAGAGGCGCCTAAAAGCAGAACAAACAATCCATTTAACTTGGCACGACTCAATTTCACAAAACTGATTTCAATGCAATCCAGCACAAACTACCGACCAGCTTGTCGATGAAGTCATCCACAGCCTGTCCAGCCTTGACCAGCAGGACGATCCTCCTGGGCTTCTTCAGCTTGGACACCATGTCCTCCAGAGACTCGGCTCCAATCACCTTGGAGCCTTTGGCCTCGTTCTTCAGGAAGTCATGCACCTTGGACACAGTTCGGTTGTAGGCGCAGACCTGTAGGAGAGGTTTGGTGAGCACTGACTGACATAAAAGTGGATAGTGGAACAAGCTTGACTGGCAACCGTTGTGGTGGAAGATCCTTTATTAAAGTAAAAGTACCAAAGCAACAATGTAAAAATACTCCATTACAAGTAAAAGTTCTGCAGCAAACTTGAAGTTATCAAAGTAAAAGTACTCGTTCTTCAGAAAAATGGTCCCTCTGACTGATTTTTATAAAATTGTTGATACTAATGTACTAATATCTAAGTACCATTTCACTGTTGTAGCTGCACAAGGTGGAGCTAGTTTTCCGTACTTTATTTACATAGTTTTATCCACTAGCTCCCAACATAAGGGTTGACCCCCTCCAAAGGGTCACCAGATGAATCTGAGGGGTTGTGAGGTTATTAATGGGCAAGGAAAGAAGAAAAAAACTGTTCTGACTCACTGATCTGTTTTCTTGGATTTTGTGCTTAAACCTTACTTTTTAGTGAACTTTTTGGACAATTTGACCTTTTTGGGCCTCAAATAGTTACTGAAATGAGAGCATGTGAAAATCTTAATCTGCAAAGTAACTGTTTACTACAAGTGTCAAATACATGCAGTAGAGTAGAGAGTACAATATTTCCTTCTGAAATGTATGGAGCATAAGTATGAAGTTGCATGGAATCGAAAAGTCCGGCAAAGTACAGGCACACAATTATTAAAAAGAACTACAAATACAATTATTACAATAAACACTTCAGTCATTATCTTACCACAAAGCCGTGATCATTCATGTTCATGATGAGGTTCTGGCCCATGACAGCCAAACCAATCAGTGCAATGTCTGCTCTGTGAAAACAAGAGTATTAATCATATTTACTGTGAGGCTCTGGTGGGCATCTGGTCCACCAACATGAAAAACAACACTCCGCACTTTATAAATCCCCTAATATCTTCTTTACAGAGCAGGTTTATGTTTAGTGTATGTTTTGCAGCGAGGAAATGAATACATGGGCTAAAAGTCACAAACACTATGTCGGCTTTCCCGTTCAAATTTCACGTTAAATGCCATGGCACACATATTTCTACTAAACATTCAAGCTGGTTGGCTAGCTAACAAGCTAACAGCTCCATTTACAAGATTACTCTCAGGAAATAAAAAAAAAGGCGACTACATAGCGCACAATTATTTAACCCCGAGTATCAGCTGCAGCCTCTCCACTTTCCCTAATCTAAAGAAGTAAAAGATCCTTACTTAGCCATTGTGCTCTGCGGTTAAAGTCACCGTGAAGTTAAAAGTGTCCAAATGACAGTCGAGCTCACACGGTGATACACTTCACTTCAGGTTTCCACTTCCTCGTTCTTATTTCAGCATGACGGGGGCGAGGAGACGGTCACATACGCCCACCGAGTATATCCGCCAATCAGAGGACGTCCGACAAACTGAAGTGATGTTTGTAGCGATTTTGATTGGTCCAGAAGACTGAGCAGAGATATCGGTTCTTCTATTGGTCCTTTCGGCTGTCACTCATTATACGTCTGCGCACACCCACAACAGAACGATTGCCATTAATTTCAGGACACGTTTTATATGTTTAATAAATTTAATAGAGGCGTTATCAGTAAAGTGACTAGACTATATTTAGCCTAGTATATTTGAGTATAATGAGTATTGAGTATGATTATTTTCATTGCCGATTAATCTGATTATTTTTGTGATTATTCCCTTTTTTTCAGGAAACAGTTTACAATGCTATATGACAGAGAGCAGCAGCAAATAATTTCATGAAAAAGGCTGGAATCAGAATATTTGGCATTGTTCACTATTTTTGCCTGAAAAAATACTGATAATATCAAATATTAAAATAGTTGCAGGTTATTTTTCCATTAATCAACAAATCAATGAATCATCTAACTATTCTGGCTCTAGTTTTAAATACATACATGTATTGCTCAATTTTAAACCATCTTTTTGCCTTTTGAGAAAACTCTCAAAAAATCAATATAAATGCACAAAAAATATTTTTTCCCAACAATGTCTTTAGAGAAACAACCCAGCACTCTTTTTTTTTAGTGTATACAAAATATATAATATAGAAAGAAATGCACTATCCATTACAATTGTCAATGCTGGATTACACAAGCTAGTCAAAGTAGGCACACTGCCCCACTGTGCTTTTGTTTATGAAATTGAAAATGTTACAATAATTAAAAGTACAATATCAGCTGGCATGATGAAAGCCTAGGGGCAGTCCTGCTTTACTTCCTGATATTAAGGTCCTGTGATGAACAGGGTTCCTAAATTTAGTTTTAAGACTTGGGTTCAATTTTGTGCTGCGTTTATTCCAGTTACCACAGGGCAGACCCGGGGCCAGTAGTGGAAGAAACAGGAGGGACTCAGCAGCTCATTTTATCCCCTCTAACAGGTGAATCCAGTCATGGCTATAAGATGTTTTATCAACTTCCAGAAGTAGTTCTTCAGTGCTTATTTCTGCCTTATAATGTATTTTTATTTCACTGAATGCATAGAAAGCACAATGCCTTGATCTCTCCTCCTCAGCAGTGATATTAAATTCCCAGACGTTTTTCCACCAGTTTGGAATTTCACAGTTAATAAACCATGTCTCATGTAGTTAATGAAAATCTGTGGCAGATCACAGGAAATATAACTCTGCACTAAACCAGTTTAGTGTGAGAACGTTTACATGCATGAAAGGCGTGGAGGAGCAGTGTCTGTCAAGGTAAAGAAAACAGATTAATAATACTGTATGAGAGTTTCAATGAAAAGTCAATGTCAACATTTTATAGGTCAGAAGATACACTTGCATATAGACTGAACCCAGTGTTTCACCGTGGAAGCCAGTTTCTGCCAGGAAAAATAGGTCAGGACTTTGTCTCTCTAAAGCAAAAGTTTGAGAATTTAAGTCATATTTATGAGATAAATAAAAACATCACTTTTTGTGACTTTCTGCAAGCAATAATAAGTTAGACTTTTAAATGAAGTAAGTTTAAGTTAAAATTACTAAGTTAAAAAAAAGTCAAAACTATGATAGTAAATCAAAATTATGACTTACTATCTTATAATTTGACTTACTTTATAGCTAAGTTTCATTAATGGTTTTATTTTTCTCATTCCTAACATCTATTTTTTTTTTTAGAAATGAGCTTTCATTACAGCACACAGATACAGGATCAGGAAGGTGTAACAGGTAAAAACAGGTGAAGATGGGAGTGAAACTGTGCACAAAGAAGAAGACAAACAGGCAGCACTTGTTCTGCTAATGCACAATTTGCACTTTTATTGTTGCCTCATTCACTAAACAGTTCAATGGTGCAAGATTACCATACACAGAATTAGGATATCTGCATGACACATCTATGCTATACAGCGAATGGATTATAATTATTACAAATACAGTAAACATATTTACATTTTAATTCAAGCTCCATACAACACAGATATTTACAAAATAAGTATGAAAATGAAACCAGTCTGACAAATAATGTACAGTGTTAATGTCATGGTTAGTCTGTCTTTTTCCTGGTGGTGAGCAAATCCAAAGGGAATGCAGTTAACTGATATTAATTGTCAGAGGGGAAGATGGAAAATATCATGGCTAGTTTTGTTTGAAAGGCATCAATGGAAAAAAAAGTGAGGTGAATAAAGACACCAGCACAAACAATAAGTATACTGTCATTTTAGATGTCACTAGCTACTTTGTATTATATTCCCTGATATTAGAAAAAATAAAATGAGTTAAAAACCACCTTCATTTTGCTAGAATTCAGATGGCTGTCTAGCGTGAGTAGTGAGTATATTCTTCAAATGAAAAGCAGACTTTCACTCAAACCACTTCCTAATAAAGAGGAAGCACTAATGTAACTCACCTCCCCTGAACAGATGCAGCAGGTTACATTTTAGTTCTCTCTTTTTTTTTGATGATGGAAAAACACACATCCTCATAGTACATTCAACTCTCTACCAGTTCAGACTGGGAGAGGCTGCCACACCATCATTTGGTTCATTCTGAGTAGAACAACTAAACCGCACAGACTTTATTTGATCAGTTAGTTGAACCTTTTATTAATATGTGCAAAGAGCTGCAAACTAATATATACATTGCAAACAATAAATACACAATCCCAAAATAATATACCTCTGCAAATTAGTCACTGAAGTGAAAATGTTTGCTCTGACATGTATTGAGTGCACTGAGGTTAACGTGAGGTACATTGCACTAGAGCCTTGATCAGTGCATAGATGGTTTTTATATGTGAGTTCCTTGACAGACAAATGATTTTCTTTGAAACAATTCACCAGGTTTTTTTTTTTTCTCTGACCAGCAGGCTGGCTGACCTGAGGGCAGCGACATTGTTCATCCATTTAAACTTCTGAGGGGACTGTTTTCTGCTTTTTTGTCATTAATAATTTCACTAAAACTTCTAACAGGCAATGGGTACCTCTGCTTCAACACATTTAACCTTAATTGTTCCTTTCATATGACACAGAAGGCATACTACTGGTTGGTTGGCCAGAGTTTATTAGTGCCCATCTGTACCTATCACTGCTCTACCATTTCCACAGACAGAGGCACCACAAATGTCAAATGTAATATACCGTGCGCTTTATGATGTACAGAGCAAATATTTTCATAAACAATATCAGAAATAAAACATTTAAGTATATTTCGTCCCTTTAACATCGCTTTCTTTCTTTCTAGTAAACCCTTTGGAGAACAGCTATCCAGTGTAACCTTGATATGTGCTCTTATCAGTGTTCCTGATACTCAGAAATAACCCTGGACTCAACATGTGTGACCTGCCCTCGTCTTGCTATAGATATGTGTTAATGTGCAAAATAAGGTAAAACACCAGTACAGTTGGTTACAAATCAAGAAATAAATGCCCTCAGTTACATTTTATATAAAACGCCACTGTGGAATGATTAAAAGCATAATAGAAAAAAACAATCAACAATGCTAATTAATAAAAAAAAAAAAAAAAAAAAAAAAAAACAGTGGAAAGTTAGATGAGTTAAGAGGTTTCAATTCAAAAACACAAATAGAAAATGAACACATGGTAAACTGTGGTGCTTCTGAAGAGTAAGTACTTCATTTTACAGAAGTTTCACCCGACACTGGAGTGACAGTGAGGGGAGTCATGGGGTAGACTGTATCAGTATCTGTCCTGCAGGCTATGTGCTAGCAGCTTCATCAATTAACTACTGGCGTCAAGGCTAAAGCGCTGCAACTTCAGTCTCCGTCTCACTTCTTCCTCCCGTTTCACTGAGTTTTGTCTTCAGTATCACACGTCTGTGATGGTTAAATAAAAATATTAGCAAATGTTGAGTCTCTCTTGAGGTCCGAGGCTCAACATTTTAAGTGTAAGAAAAACTGCGAGGAGCTCGAAGAGCTGAGAGGAATGTCTTAAATGAGAGTTAACTACCACACTGATCCCAGAACAGACTGTATGTACAAATGATATTCTCTCTTTAGAGTATCTTCCTCTGTCTCTTAATCCTCCTCATCTCTGTAACACCCTGTTTTTTTTTTTTCTTGAGATGAAATAGCAAAAGAACAGGGACAAATATCTACTCCTGCTTGAACAATCCATAGTCATGAGATATGAACTGATCATTTATTTTTGCACGTTTCTTCATTTAGCGTGTATTTTTGATGTTGACACAAATGCATGATTGTAAGTAATTACTCACTGACTGACAGCACTATCGAGGGGAGTTGGTTTTGGTGTATGTACACGGACTGAGAAGTGGGATCTAAATATCACATGGATGATGGTGGAAATCCGGTGCTGCCCTGGTGTCTCGCTGAGTCGGGAACTTGACAAATTTTTCACATTTTGATTCTAAAGGCTTTTTGGGAGGCAGCACAGGGGAGCTAGAGTCTACTTTAGGAAGAGGCCTGATGCAGATCTCATAAAGAGAAGAAAAAACCTATGAATTCATTAGCAGCAATAGTTGTTGAAGTAGCTCTGCTTTCTCTAGCAGAGCGTAAACTGATATGTCACTTGGACATATTTGTATATTTTCCCTTCATGGTTGTAAGTGTAGTTGTCTGATTAATTTTTTTTTTTTTTGAGTAAGCAAACCTGGTCTTCTCCTGAGGACTGCTGCAGTTATCATGCGGGCATATTTATAAAAAACAACAAAATAAAACTCTTCTCGGGAGACAAATAACACTGATAGAGACAATTTTTACAGATGATTGGCAAACTGAAAATTAGTGGCCAGAAAGAACAGTTTCTGAAGAATCGTGCACACACAAGTAGACTACTACAACATGCTACTAGTTAGGGAGTTAGGGAATGACAACAAAGCAGAACAAAATAAGACCCAAACATTGTCATATAAACAAAAACACAAAAAGCTGAGGAGGAGGTGGGGGCGAGATAGAGAGGACAAAAGCTAAGTTGGCAGAGGGTTGTTGGAGGGAGAGGGGAGGCAAATTTCTCTGGAACTGAAAGTTTTAGTCGCATGAAAGGAGACTTAAGCCACAAGTCTACTTACAAGAGAAAACCGTCAAGAATCACAATGATTAATAATTGTTAACACTTGGTATGTTCAAAGGCTTTGCAGAAAGAATGGAAGCCGTGGTTTCCTGTGCGCCGGTCCACTCACTCAGTTCTTCATTAGGCCACTGCGCCTCCTAGCCAGCTTCGATCTGTGGGAACGACAGGAGTTTATGTCGTGATGGGATCAGAATGTAATTCTGCGTCTGATGAAGTGCAGCCCGAGAGAAGTGTGCACTTACCTTATCGTTCCTGCTAGCAGGGGATTAAAAGCGTAGAGCCAGTCGTTCATGTCTTTCTCGTTGTTGGCCTGCAGCAGGATTCCTCGATGTTTTGTGCACACAGCAAACGTGTTGGGAGTCTGAAAAGAAACAGTAAACATTTGCCATTCTGCACGTCTTTGTGCATGAAGAAGGTTTTAGGAAAATAGCCAGTTATTGAAAGTTGTTGTTGATGTTAGTTAAACTGTTATCAAGGTTATGTGTCAGGAATACACCTGATTTCTTCAAACTGTACCTTGAGCATGGCCTGCTGGTCTTCACTGTATTCCACCTGTGCTGTTGAGAGGTTGAGGACGCCCCGCTCCACCGGGTCCTTGTCGCTGTTGTAGATGAAGACGTAGGGCCGGCGCACCACCACAAAGTGTTTCACCCACGAGTTAGAACGAGGCTCCATGAAGCTTAGGAAACCCTTCTTGGACACAACAGATCTGACAAGGAGCAAAAAAAGAGAAAGAAGAAAAGTGTTGTTTTTGTGAGGAAGAATCAGATCGGTCTGGTTCAGCAGTTCAAATCTACTCACATGCCTCGATTAGAAAACCGGATTATCTATTTTTGTTTGGGCTGCTCTTATCAACATTTTAAAATGACATCACTGCGCACAGCGGTGACAGGAGGAGAAGACCAAAGGTGGCATCACTCACCCTGGCCTCATTTCTTCAATATCAGGCACCAAGTTGAGGAACTCGTTCTTCCCGGCCCGTGCTAGGTAAGAGGTCTCCAGAGTGGGAACCATCGGGAAGTTTTCATAGTCTGAGCAGGAGGGACTGGAGGCACGGGAGCTGTTCTCTGGGGTCCTTAGGAACAAAGTGCACCAAGTTAACATCATGCTCAACCTGTCAATAACCTCAACCTATAGTCACTGTAACATTTTACACAGACACTGGTAGATGTTTAGAAAAAAAAGAAGAAAAAAAATTAAATAAAAGTTGTACTTCTGGTCCATGGAGCTACAGCGGGAGTCGGATAGAGAAGGACAGGTGGAGGAGGGGGTGAGGGTGGCGCTGCTGAAGCTGGTCACCGATGGATCCCGTCCGATGGGTGAGATGTCAGACAGCTGGAGGAAAAACAGCAAGAAATATAAGTTGAACAAACAGTTTTTAGTTTCCAAAGGCACACTGTGGAAGAGAAGAACTACTGACTATTATTTGGATAGTGCACATCTGATATTCAAGTAGCCATTAGGTACAGAACAGAAGATGTTAACGTGAGGCTCACTTGCTCATTTGCAACATCTCTAAAGAGACACTATCTAATCCACACTACTTTAAAACTGCTTTTAAAGCTACTGTGAGTCTTCCTAGTGAGACATTATAATGTAGTCACGTGTCACCAGTGTAACAGGATTGAGCTACACAAAGAAAAGGGACCGATGTAAAATGTGTTTACAGTAAGTTTATAGGATTTAAAATTTCTTTCTCACCTTGCAGTCACTGATACTGTTGACCACCTGGTTGTATTCGCTGTTGAAGGTGTGTGTCATGAGGCGCAGGCACTGCAACACGACAGAGATGAGGCAGGTCAGTTCATAGCAGTGGAGAGTTCCGTTGATCACTATGCAGCAAAGAGTAAATCATTGTATCTCACGGTACAGAATTTGTTCTTACCTTAGTGGCCAGCTCCTTCTCACGATCCACCAGGCTCTCGATGTCTGTGGAGTCGTAGCCGCTGCTTTCGCTGGGCGTGATGGCGCTTTCAAAGGTGGTGCTGGAGATCTGTGAGGAGATGGAGGTGGAGGTGGACAGGGTGCCAGAGCTCATGCTCGGGGACAGCGACTCGCTCAGGGACTTAGTGGTGGGAGCTGTTCCCACTGGTGCCGCCTCTCCCAGCTTCTCCCTCAGCAGGAGCAGGTGTCGGGTCTTCTCCACCTGAGCAAATGACAGGGGCAGGGGTTAGGTAAGTTAAAAGTCCATTGTATGAAGAATTGTTTTAAAAGAACAGTGGCTGTTTGACTTAGCATGGAGCTTGTTTACTTTTTTCTTTCAGTAGAATATTAGACCGGTTGATAGAGTAGGGAGACAAAGAAAAGATGGCTCTGGCAGGACAAATCCAGCACTAAGGTAAATTCCTTTCTTAGGGACCCACCTCATGCAGCTGCTCCATTTTCTCCAGCTCCCATTGGTGCTCCAGGATGAGACTGTCTCCTCTGGGTCTCCAGCCGGCCAGGTTCTCCTCTCCACGCACATAAGCCACTGATGTGTCCAGGACCTTCCTCCTCCTCCGTTGCATCCCTGCTCAGGACAAAAGGCCTCATGAGGATGAAGTTCTCTGAGGAATCATAATAATCCAGCAGCCTGTCTTAAAACATTTCTTTAAATGAGTATTAGTCTGCTCACCTGGGCTTCCAGTGTCAGACATCTTGCACAAGCTCAGCTCGTAGATGCCAGTGACTCGGTTGCTGTGATGAAGCAGAGGAGGTTCTGGATGAAACATGGCAGAACTGTTTATATTTTGGGTAGAAATGGCCACAGTATGGCTGCGTGCAGTCTTACCAGTCAGGAGTTTTGGAGTAACCACTCCCAAAGAGGTTCCTGAGGGAACGGGGAGGGGAGATCTTTGCATCTCGGGAGTAGAAGACCATGCAGATGTCTTTGGTAATAATAGCAGGCTGAATGCAGTGGTCAAGCTGTGTAGAAGAGACACAGTGAGTATGTTTGCTATGCTGACATCCAGAGTGGTCAACTATAGAGCTCAAAGCAAAGAGATACAATACAGTAGGAGCAGTGACTGACCTCCAGATACGCAGACAGGGTCATGTAGATCTTCTCTCCATAAGGAGTGACTCGGTTGAGCAGGAGGGAGTTGTGCAGGGAGCTGTCCCACACTGCCTCGAAGCGGTAGAAAGTCCTGATGAAAAACCAAAAAACTATTCAGTTATCAGCAAAATTACAGAGAAATGAATTTACATAGTGTTTATCTTCTGTGACTTCAGTGTCAGTGCTTTTACACAGTTTGTAGGATCTGTGTGGATATAGCAGCAGCCATTAAACTACAAGGAGACAAAAAGCCGAGCCTTATTTTGCCAATAACCAGGAAGTGAGTCAGATATTCTGCTATTGATGACGTGAGTGCAACCCTGACAGATTAAGGCAGTGAACACTGTGCAGTGACTGAAGTGTCCCTCACACTTATCCTTCGTCATGACAAGACGAGAGGAAACACACTGAGGTGAGACCTCGACAACAGACACAACGTGAGCACGAGTGCCAGTAGTTAACAGAGTGTCGGGAATGTGCCAAGAGAGCAGCAACAGAATGGCTGCATGCAGGAGATAAGTCATGTTTAAGTTATGATACGAGTAATACACTTTATAGCATCAATGTGAAGACTATCAGAAGTCTTTTACAGAAATATAAGTGAAAAAAAATACAACAGTTTATGGCAAACGGCACATTTTTTTAAAAGATATTTTAACATAATAATATTTAGTAGATGACTGCTTGTGAGGCTGTTTCACGGGGGTACACTGTTCCTGTCTGTGGCAGTAGGGGGCACTCTAACCCACAGACTGAGAGCCAGAACTGCCCTGTTGGTGCCTCATTGGCCTTTTTGTTGTTGTTATTGAGTTAAGACTCATGCAGTGAATAACAGCTGAGAGAAAAACATTCATTTAGAGTCTGGGTGCCACAGAAGATCAACATACCACTGTGGTTTCAACTGAAGTGAGAGTCACGACATCACAGTACAGAATAGGGGTTGCAGTTGCATTTAGGACTGCCTTTATTCATCCATGAAACATTTGGGATGGGATTTATTTTTTCAGACACTAAATATTGATGGAAATAAAGACAGACTTAATGCAACGTGCCAACAAAAAACACAAACTGTGGAGAACTTATTTCTATCAATCTAAAGGACTAAAGAGAAGCATAAAGTTCTTTCAGAGAAAGAGCCCTATGTTCTCCGCTCACTGGTACCTATCAATATCCTTATCAATAGAAAGCCTGAGCACAATCATGAGTCCAGCCGCAGCAAGAGGAAAAAGAGAGTGCATAGAAAAAAAAAAGAAAGAGAGAAGCACAAACAGTCAGGCAACAGACAATGGAGAAAATTAACAAGAAAATTAACAGCAGTGAAAATGGAAATGGTCATGCAATGATCCCAATGCGCCTTCAGCAAATATAAAGACAAGGACACATACACAAGTCTAGAAGGATATTCACAAATACTGTTTCTAAACTGCAGCTGTTTTGAAGAATATATCAGCCACAGCATGTGGCTACATAACTACATCACAGGAATGTGTCACTTTCTAGTTGCCACATTGCTTTAAAAAATTGTTTTTCCTCAATCATCGCGGAAGACCGGTGCTGAGAATCAAGCAGCAGCCAACCTTCACTGAGTACCAATACATCCACAGACTTGCACCATGAATATATGCTATTTATTCAGTACAGTTGACCTTCGATAAGAAATGTGTGAGTGTGTTCAGCTACCTGTTGGAGTTGTGGGATGACTTGATGTTCTTGGCAGAAATGATGTTGAGGGACAGGACAGCATCAGCAGCACTGTCGTCCACTTCAGCTTTGTTCCTGATACGACCTGGTGGGACACAGAGCAGCAAAGCACGTCAACAACTCGTCATCACGAGAGCTCAGACGACTTCGGCGGAGAACTTTAAAAGCCACTTTGTCCATTAACAGCCATACTGTCACAGTGTCCAACAGCGAGACTCCGAACACATGGCTTGAGCCTCTCTAGATAAGAATGTCAGCAGCTGAAAGTCGAAAATGTGAAATGTAATTATTTGGTCCATCAGCTACAGCTCCAGTATAAACTGTTTAAAGGCAGAGGAGGCTTCAGGCGAAACAGATGCAACTCCTCTCACTGAAATCATGAGGAAACTGTGCAAAGTATTTTCAGTGCTGCACTCATGAAGTGATATTCCAATTAATAAAAGTGTTGTATTATACTGTCGGAGTTTCAAGTTTTTTTTACAATTCAAAAATACACAGAAAATGACAAAGAATACAAATAGCATACAGTGCAGGGAGAGGCAAAAAACCCAATGGGCTTATTTAAAGCCTCCACCTTAGTATGTTGAAATATCACAGAATGATAAAAAATACAAAATAAACAAGAAAATAATGTGACTACATAAAAATATTGAGAAAGTAAACGACTCAAAAATATATATATAATAAAATTAACAGCAATACTAACAATAATATCAAAGTATGAGCAGAAAATGTGAGAATGTGATGTGTGTGCAATATGAAAAAAACAAATAAGACATTAATGCATGGGTAGTGTATTGGAAGTAAAAATAGTGATAAAAGCATAGTTTGTAACATTTTATAGAGGAATAGTTCTTTGCCAAATAGAGAAAGCCATTCCATAATTTGATGGAATATAATTGAAAATTGAACTTTGCAAGTGAGAAATGTGTGAGGATGAAGATCAGAAGATTGACGAGTTGAATAAGAATGGCCCTATGAGTTTGTTTTAAAGTAAGTTTAGAAATGCTCAGGAATATTCCCTTCGATTGAATATATCTTCTAAATAAATTTTATGCCTTTATTTGATAGTGCAACTGGAGAGAGAGAGAGGGAATGTGGGGAAAGAGAGTAGAGGAATGACATGCAGCAATGGTCCGGCCGGCTGGGAATCGAACTGGGGACTTGCTGCTCAGGGCATTCTTTTGTGTCTCTGGTGAAAGGTAGAACTAGTAATCCCTGTGGGAAGACTGCTCACCCACGACCAGCTCGCGGACGTCCTTCCAGTGGAGCTCGCTACCCTTCTCATGGATGAGAGTCACCGTGATCCTTCGCTGGATTCCCTGCAGCGAAGATGACAGGAGCTTGGGATTAGAGTAGACACAGCTAGAAAAAATGTAAGCTTCTAAATATGTCTTATAAAGAAGAAATATCATTCACTGGTATAGAAGAAAGACACATGAAGTTCCCTTTGATTTTGTAAGTTCACAGGAGAATGATCAAATCAGAATCTGTGCACAATTCTGTGTACAATGCAAAACTGACTTTATAGAATTAGAGACCAGTGGGTTATGGTGTTGGTCTCCTGTACCTGGTGCAGTAGGTAGGTGCCATGGCAGGGCAGTCCTCCACTGTGATCCACTACAGCTGGAATGTACCTGTGGAGGGAGGAAGGTCACACTGAGCCTGGACACTTCAACCAACACATCTCATAGGATTCTTTATGATCTTTTGATTTTTATTTTATCATTTTATCTTTATGACTCTGTTGTTATCTTTGCTTTTCTTCACTGTTTCCTCAGTGCAAATGTATGAGATTCATAATAGTGTTTCCTCAGTTCCTGTTATTACTGTCTCATTTCTATTGTTTTTATTTATTATTTGGTCATTGAGTTGCATTTTCTGTATGAAAAGTGCTATACAAATAAAGTCTGACTGATTGATTGATTGATTGATTGATTGATTGATTGATTGTGAGGATTTGATAAATTGCATCCACAGTTCTTCTACACTGACTGTCTCTGTACTGCTAAAATATGTCTCAGGTAGAAACCTCATGTCTGTTTTCTACTCAGCCTTACAAAACCCACAACAACTTCCTTTTTTATTAACCTGTTAGGTTTCTACTGTGTTCACACCATGTTTGCAGCAGCTAAGTACTAAAAGACATCTGGGGACATATTTTACAGAGGTGTTATTTCAGTAGATATGACTCTCGTGACACATGGAGGTTCTGCGTACATCTTTGATGTCTTGATCAATATATATTTCTTCATCTTTTTATTCTCCTTTCATTTTTTCATATTTTGCTTACATATTGTAATGTATTATATACTTTTTTGAAGCACATCAGTTTCCTTTGCTGAAACAGTACTTCTTTCTTCTTTGTATTAGTAAGAGTACTCTTAAATTAATATGAGGTCTCACATTGTGTATCTTTTCAAAATGACATATAAAGAACATGACGCATTTAACTCTTATATTTATTACTAAATGTGGATATAACATGCGTGTGTAGACACTCACTCTCCAGTGGGCTCAAGCTCGCTGATCTCAAACCACACGAGCAGGTCGTACTTGCTGACGCACTGACCCAGGTTGGACTTGGTGATGGTGTTCAACTTGGTGGCTGGAACTGACACACAGACACACATAAGCTCAACATGACAAACCGGAATTTGCCTACATTTCAGAGGGGATGGATCAAAATAATATAGTTAAAAATGTATTAATAAATAATGCTAAATGGAGGCTGGATGTGTGGAGTGAACACACTGTTGACCCTGGATACTGAGCCATTAGTATACACACACGCAATGCCAATATTCATTTATCAAAGGAGATGTTACTTATAAAATGCATTATTACTGAAATAAACTGAACAAAGAAAACAGGAACAATACTACATTATATTCAACACCAACAGTTGAACATACCAAAATGGTACGAGGAGCTAAATCACAGATTACACCACCACTGACAGAAGCCTGCTGTCTAGCACATCAGGATTACGTTCCTGTTACAACAGGCTAATCTCTGAGGCACACAGCTACATTCATTTATGTTCAATATGGCTGAAATGAACATTATTCCACATGAAAACTACCGTAATTGGACTATAGCTGAACTTATAAAGGCTTAAGCCCCTGGAGTCTGATTTATGCTGTGAAGGCTATGTCAGTGATCTCCTATGATTATGATAAATACTCACTTTGCTATTTGGCTTAAGATTCAGCACATGCAGCAGATTTACCTCAAGGTGTCAGCTCAGGCCAGTGTGTAAGCGGCAGGGGAGGGTTGGACTGAGCTGACTGGACCTAAATAGACCTGCAGCAAGGTGCAGCACACATAACCACTGCAGAGCTTTATCGTGCTACTGCCTGCAGACACAGAGCACCACAAGGGCAAAGCACAGCACTAGTCTAATCACTACAACCCGGGTGCATCTAATGCCTGGTCAATAAGCTACTACACTGTCTGCTGTACCAACCATGGTGCCTAGGCACAATTAGCACAGGGTCGTTGGGTACTGGGAGGAAGGGGAAGTGAGAGAGCTGTTCAGCCTCATCCTCCAGGCTGGCCACAGCAGAGGAGGCTAGGGCGTTGGCGTGCTCGGACAGCGTGTCCAGCACCTTGCCGTTCACATAGCCGCTCATCAAGTATCGGACCAACTCTATCTTACGGGTATGGTCTGGGTTTGCAATGTATGACATCGTACGAATGGTGAGAAAGATTGGAAGGGATGTGTGAAAAAGGATATGTGGAAGAGGGAGGACAGAGTTGGGTAAGAGGATTATGAATGGTGGGAGAATGATCAAATATGAGACAAAAAAAAAATCCAAAGGAAGCGAGAAATGAAAGAAAAGTGGAAGCAAATATGAGGCATGCTTATATAACCATAACAAACACAAGAAATATGCTGAAATGATGGAGACAGGTGCAGAAGATATTGCTGTTTGCGCATATGGTGTGATGACATTAAAAGTCTTACCTGGTTTAGATAGAGGCATGGGAATAGGATAGTACTTCCTTGACGGTGTTGGAGGACTGGTAAAACAAAAAACAAAATATTTCTTACCAATAGAATCTCTTATAGTAAAAAGAATATTTCATGAAATAGAATAGTTCATGAAACATTCCTCAAAGCAATACAGCATCTCCATACAAGAACTGCTTCTTTTTTTTTTTTTTTAACTCCACCCACCTGATCAGATCCTGACCATGAAGATGCAGCGGGTGCTGCTGGTAATGGCCAAACACTTCGAACACAATGGGCTTGGTCTTGATGTATTCAATAAAGGACTCTGTGACCTCAACTGAAATCTGCTCCGACAAAAACAAAAACAGGGTGTTGTCAAAATGAATTCACATAAAGTTGTTAAGGTATATCTTGTGCGTGTATGTGTGTGCTTGTGTGTGTGTGTGTGTACTCACATTCTGGACATGGTAAAAGCCCAGAGGAGCTCCTTTGCCGGTGTTCTTCAGAGGCTCAGTGGAAAAAGCCTCATCATGACGATGCAGGAAACTGAGGAGATAAACATAAATGTGTGTCAGCATGGGACATTAATTTGTCAACAAGATAATGGTGTTAATCAGGAAATTCATTTACAAGGCAAAACAATGCAAAACATTTCATGCAAATCTCTTCTGATGTACTAATGTTATTGCTATATACTGATATCTTGAATTTGTCCCTTGGTTTATAGCAGTTTGTTGTTGGCACTGTTTGATAACTTTTTTCACAGCTAGATTAACTGTTTTAATCCTAATAAATGCAAAAATGACTATATTTACAATATTACTACTCCAGATAAAAGATACCACATACAAATGTAAAGAATTGATATTAAGATTCATGTGGCCACAAACTTTATTTTGAGGATTGTGAACTCACTTGAATTGGCAGAAGATGTCGGCGTACTCAGGCAGGATGCCGCTGGCCTGGAGCACGGTAACACGGAAGGTAAAGATGCTGCCCACCTCCAGCTGGTCTGCCAGACCGTCACCAAGACTCAGCTTGGTCTCCGCGATGTTACCCAGCTTGAGGTCTGAGAAAAAGCCACAGGGGAAGGTGAGGAGGAGTTGTGCTGTGATTTATTGAAAATGACCTGCATCTGCACCTGGGGACTGTGCTTTTTAATCTGCATATGAATTCTAGGCTCTGCACAGTACAATCAGACTGGATTCTACACACGATCAAGCTTGTGATTTGTAGAGATGATTCTGCTCAAACAGCCTTTGTACACATTCCTTCACAAAGCAAGAAAAACTGCATCAGTCTCATTTCCATAACTAAACATTCAACAGGACCATCTGCCAAGTGTGTTTCCCCTTTGGGGCTGAGAAGTTGAAATTTATGAGCAGAGAGGTGAGGGTCTGGCAGCCATACCCATGTCATTGATTCTGTTGAGCTCCTCTGAGGGTGTGATGACCTCTGAACTCTGACCCTGACCCTCCACAATGCGCAGCTCTTCCAGGGACAAGCCGGAGCGGGTCATAACCGTGGAGGGAAAGTCGTTCTGATTGGACGAAAAAGGAGTAAAAGGAGGAAGATTTTTAGCATATAGCTGGTAGAGAGAAACTTCCACCTGCATTTCTGTATTATTTGTGCAATACTCACTCCATCCAAAACTATATTCACTATTCCTTAAATTTGCTTTTAGAAAATGAATAAGAAATTAAGAAAACACAACTTCCTCTGCTGACTTCATGTTTTAACCCAAATATTATACACCCACTGTCTCACACACACACACACACACACACACAGCAATGGTGTTCTCTTAAGTTTGAAACTCCTTTCATCTGACTCAGGGCTTACCTTTTTGAAGTACTCATCATCAAAGGAAATCTTGGCGGTTCCTGACTGTCTAACTCCTGACCCGTAGTCTGGAGCCTCCTCGTCAGCTACAAAGAGACAAACCATCCTCTTATCAGCATCTATCACAGACACAGCTGATGAAAACCATCAAAGCACATCAAAGGGAATACACCAAGAATCTGAAGGAATTCTCTCTTTGCCACCAGATCGGTTGCTTGAAGGGCCCTTCAAAATGTTTTCACACTGATATCAATTTAGAAGTTAGGGCCATATATTTATCTCATTATTTGGTTTGAGTAGAACATATTTTGGTATCAAAATTTCAAAAAGACTGATAGAAATGAAATGTGATTTTATATGGCACAAATACATGGAACTGATACACAGTAAGTGGCAATAAGTACGCTTTTTAACTGCTCCACTACACATAAGAACCATAATATTTCCCTGAGAGTTTGACAAATCACAAAGATAAACGGTCTCCTTCACAAGAATTTTCCATCTAAAACTCAATAACACACTCTGCAAATATCATCCAAGCATAATAACACATGAGTCAGTGATTGGCAGGATAATGTGCATTAAAGATCCTGACGCTTTTGCTCATTAGAGAATCTCATTAGTTACTCACCAGCTATAGCCTGGACCCCCACGCGCAGGAAACCACGCACCGCGCCCTTCTCTGTTACTATAGCAACACGGTGAACCAGTGGTACAGGGTACAGCAGGTTGCTCAGGTACACGAAAGCTCTGAGAGGAAAAACGAGGACAGAAACGTGAAAACCTGATTCTGGTGCAGTGTGGATCAACGGCTGCAGTCAAACATTAACTTTGTATTTATGACAGTTCAGGTTTTTTGTTATATAACTGCCATGTTATCTGTTGCATTTAATTAATTAAAAGCAAATGAGATATCCACTTATTAAAAAACAACTGTGGCCACACAGAGACAGTTTCCTGAAAAATACGCATTCCCGATACACATCTTATAAAGTGCACAAACATTTCCACAGTTTAGCATATATTAATGACTACAATAGCATAGAGTAAAATATTAGTGACAATTATGTTAAAGGACAAGCAAAAACAAAATGAAGACAGAAAATTGAACATAAAACCATATATGCTTCAGGGCAATGAAATCAGCAGCAGCTTAAACCATCCACTTTATTTTTGAACTGTGTGTCAGGGGTGATGACAGATCGCCTGGGATGCAGCAGTAAAGGCAGTAAAAGAGTGTTTTATTGTGTCGTGTTATGGTGATGTTAGTCTCTCACTCACACACTCGCTGACATTTTGTTTTGTGGGACTTGATTTGTCTTGCTGCACCCCTGGTGACCTACTCATTCTCTGCCACCCCTCCCTCCCCCTCTCTCTCCCTCCCTCCCTGTGCTGGGAGACTCAAGGCCAAGGCGGGGGAGAGATATCAATCTGTAAAATCTCTGAAGTCATGGTGACGCAGGTTTCTGAGCTACGACTGTTGCAGAGTCTGGCTGGCTTGAAGCCTGCATTGATCTGTCGTCTTATTTTGAGATTAGCACACTGTGTTTATTTCTAAGCTATGATTTTTACAACACTGAGGCTCTAGCCTCGATACAGCATATGCTGTGATTTCAAATGCTGCTGCAGCACATTATTTCATCCTGACATCAATTTAAAACGAATACATGTAAGTGTGATTATGCTAACTACTGCTGAGTTAATGTTATCTACAATATATTCCAAGAGCAATGTTAAAACAAACAAGGTTATAAAACAAATGTTTTAACCACAATGTAATAATGAAACAAAAAACAAACAAAAAGAATCAAACAAAAGGATAAAAAAAAACATAAAATGACAGACGGCTAATCAACTTAGACACAGCAAATACATGTAACTTCACACACAGATGGGAGTTAATACAGTCAGCGCTGTGATGGTGGCGGGGGATGAGACATCACGCTGGGAGGAGGTGGAGAAATGGATGGTGGCTTTTCATTTTTTTTGGGGGGGGGGGGGACTGAGTCTAAATGAAAAGTAACTCATAAAAAGCAGGCGGAGAAGTTTGACTAATCACATTAAATTCAAAACTGGTCCAGTTTATCTCTGCAAAGCTGCTATGAATAAATGATCTGATTCTGAAATCATCCCTTCTCCAGGGATGGCTTTACTGATAACTATAAGACATATACGCAGAGTATATTTAGGATTCTGATTTACCAGCTGCTAAAATAATATGTAAAATAATTGTCTTGTATCCTATATACTGCTACTTTAACATCTCCTTACTGATCACTGTTGTTGGGTGAAGCATCAGTCTGTCTATCCATCTATTTGTCTATCCATCTAGTTTTATACAATATTAAATATCCTTTGTTTGCAGGATATGTTTTAACGCCTAAACTCATTAATATTTACTTCTTTGACCTTTTTTTCCTGTTGCTCTACACCTGAGTATTAAAATAAACTACACTAAACCAATCCAACATCCACCCAGACTCCTGTCCCAGCTTGTGTATGGAGGATGTGGGAATGCCACTGCCAGTCACCAACCTTCCCACCAGGATGAACCAGGGGGAGCGGTCGTAGAAGGGGTCCTGGCCATCGCTGAAGATGTCTGAGCCCTCCTCGGTGCCGGCATCCGAGCTGGTGTCGTCCACAAATGCCTCATCATCAATTAAGTCAGACATCTCGCTCTGGCGCTCATCGGCCAGCTCGGTGATCTCCGAGTCAGTGGTGGAGAAGGTGGGCGAGGGCGTGCGGTCGGCCAGGCGCTCATTAACGCAACCATGGAAGATGGGGGAGCTGAGAAGATTGGTAGTTTGGGAGCAGTGGCAAGAACCAAGGAGAGGTAACAATGCAGTAACAGAAGAGTTAAACAGGCCACCGCAGCTCGTGCAGTACAGCTTAGACATGATATTTCACTTCAGCATAAAAATCATTGTTTTCTTACAAACGGCATTATGTCTCATGTGTTCTTACCACAAATTATGTAAAATCATGTATGAATATAAAAAAGACGTGTCATTTGAATTGCAAAGTAATCAACCACCAACAGCAGAGGTACATGCTTACTTTGTTATACTTATGCTAATATGATTATTAGCTAAACCAAGTCAATTAAGTTTTTTCTTTTCTTTCTTATAATACTTTATATTATAAGAGTAACAGAAGGATTCATTTCAGAGCAGGTATTACTAGAAGCTGCTAGGTGTCACAGCAGTTTATAGAGACATGACTATTTTATACCCAAATGAAATGTCACTTTAAAAGGATTAACGTATAAGTCTTCTAATGTATGCTTGCTGGAAGAGGAGTGAATACAAAATGCTACAAATTTCCACATTATCCAAATACACTATGTTGTTAACAAGCTTTTGTGTGAACCGAAGGGTATCAACATGAGAATGGCAACAGAGACAGCAAAAATTATATAAAAGGATGAATGAAATCATCATTTATGATTAAAACAAAAAAAAAAAAGACAACTTAAAATGTGATGTCAAATAAAATGAATGAATACAATATAAGTGATATGAAAACAAAAACCACCAAAATAAAATCACAAATGTAATATCAAATTATAAACATGATAAAAAAAAAAAATACATGAGCAATAACACACATATATGATAAAACATGATATATGACCCTAATGAATCCTTGGAACAGAATTTGACCATGAAAATGAAAAATGAAATGAAAGTAAATGTGTGGATCCATTTTAATTAAATGGATCCCAAAAGCTGCGCGAGTAAAGCCATATCAAATCAGTTAGCCACAAAACAGCATTCAAACAGGATATTTAGTGATCAAGTAAACTGTAACATGTGTAGTCACCACTGAATATGTACGTCCTTTTGTTGCGTTACGTACCTCCCAACAAGTTTAAACCAGTGGAAACGGTCATAGAAGGGGTCGCTTCCTGTCAGAGTGCCCTCGCCGTCCTCTTGATGAGTGGAGGCCATTTCACCAGCGCGATCATACATCTCTCTCATCTGGTCCAGCCTCTGCCTGTAAATGATGACAGTGTGTGTTCGGTATTAATGAGAAGTGGAGAGAGAATCTAACGGCTACTGCTTGATGTACAGATTACAATCTCATAATTCTTTGTATTTTTTCTAGTATATTTCTGGGACTGAAGTCGTGAGAAATGATTGGACAACAGGCAGATTGAGCAAAGGACTGTGGTGACTGATGATTTCTAAAATATGAAATGATGCACTTGTATAAATAAGTATACAGAACAAATCTAGCTAAATTCAAGACTAGTTTAATGTAGGATAAGATGTTTACTTGAGTTTATCAAGGGACCAGTAGTGCGTGGCTCCATTCTTTAGGTCCTGAACCTCTACAGCCACCACAGTGCGGGGGAAAGGCCTGGAGTCACGCTCCTTCTCTGGCTCTGGGGGCAGGAGCTCAGGGGGCAGCGGAGAGTACAGCGTGTCTGTCAGCAAGACAAACTGGAACTGGACCTGAAGAATGCAGAAGGGAACAGGAAAAGGGCATTTTGAAAAACATTATGTCAAATCAAAGCAAGAACAAAAAAACAAGCATGAGGATCTATCCCGACTTAAAGGATCCTGGCTTAAACCCCAGACACAGCGCACCTTCTAAAAAAGCCTTATTCATAACTGTGATCAAGATGTATGGTATTGTACTATTTTACTGCAGATATATCAAGGTTGAAAGGTCAAACAAATCCATTTTACCCCTCATGTCGTGGCCTCTCTGCCCAGCACCCTCTGGGGGCAAAATGCTAAACCACTTGACAACATTGGACATAAATTACAGATACATGAAACATAAAGATAAATAAAAATAGTCTGAAAATGTCTCTGACAGATGACCCATCTCCAGCATCAATCATGTAGCTCCTCGAAATAAACAAGGATATAAATCACACTGGTCTCCTGATGGGGAAGACGGACCTCAGTAGAAGAGCTTCTGATTTGTAACAAATTCAGTTTCAGTATGTGACAATGAGTCTACATCCTGCTGTCAATGACATAAGGATTGACTTGTGCGTGTGCAACATACATCATGTTTTAAATTGAGTTATTTAAATCGCTCGCATCACATTGGACTGAATAGTGAGTGTGGAATGGTGCAACTGAACTGTGGTGTCTCTCATAACATCACCGTGTGGGTTTGTAATTAGGAATGTAGTCAGCAGATCACTTATCAGCGTCATCTCGCGTCATAGTCCGACATCCCAGAACCTGACGTACAATGGCTATGAGGCTGATTCACATCAGCAGACTGTAGATGGCTGCCAGGCAAGTACATTATTGAAAGACAGTGTGGCTTTTTACTACATTCAGGGTTGAAAACTCCCCTGCTTCCTGCTAAAAAAACATTAAGTGTTTTTTTTCTTTACTCTCAAAGCTGGTGATCCTTACTCTAACCAATGAGAAACAATGACATGTCACAAAGAAAACTGACCAGCCATTTTACTTACTTTCTTCTTTAGCTCTACACTAATGGCATTAGCCTCCTTTAGGTAGACAGCGTTTCCCCACAGCTGGTCACGGAGGGAGGTGAACTGATGGTACCTCCACTTCCTGAAGGCCCACTGTGCCAGCTCAAACTCATGCTGAGTCCACGGCACTGCAGGGAGACAGGAGAGTTTACATTAACATGATGCATATACACATAAAACACACACAATGTAAATGCACCTAAAGCCAAAAAGGACCATACCAGTGGTTTTGCTTGTTTTAGCCCAACCACAAAAACACTGTACTCTACAATACTGCCTGCAATTCTAATGAATCCACCGATGTAGAACATTTTATCATCTTTATTTTAAGTGCATATTTCTTGAAAGCAGTGCCCTTGTGGAAAAGCATTCCTTTGTGATGTGTTCACAGACCTCTAACATCAGAGTTTACAGTCAGCTGCAGAAAAGCATCTCATTTGCAAACAGTGACAAAATGCAGATACTATGCTGTTTCCTCTTAAAAGCCTCTGTCCGTCATCCAAATACAAAGATAAATTTAGGTCCATTACACAAATTCAAAACATAGGACTAGAGGCTGCTATTACTCGACAACTACTGTATATTGCAGGGAATAGTTTTATTTCGACTAAACATTGTGCTACCTGGATGGGACCGGGTGATTATGAGTATACTTTCAATCAGGTCTGAAAGAAAAAAAGTTAATTTGACCTCCTTTAACAACAAGTAATCACAAAAGGAGACCAAATGTTCACTGTGGTGGAAATTGGTGAATTAGCTTTCAAACTGCTACTCAACACAATGGAAATCAGTGGCAGCTCTGAAAGTAAGGAAATACATTTATTTTGGAAAAACTGCTTGCTCTGAAACATAGCTGCCAATACTTTATAGGCAATTTGTAAGTGATGAGCTAAAACATGGAAAACTAAAGTATGGTCCCTTAGACTTCAAGTAGAGAAGTAGAATGGTTTAAATTACATTAGTGGCATGTTTTCTTTCAAAGGGATTAGAGCACGTGTTACTTATGATCTAGTTTGACTGAATACCTTGAATGGGTAATTAGTATGGCAATATTAACACATTTTCATTAATCTGAATGAGGTTGATATTACATTCTTTTGATTATGAAACAGAAAGTACTATACGCACATCCCAGTAGTTTAGGCTCTGGACAGAAAATGTGGAGGAAAACAGAGTGCATTTTTATATATGTCTGGGGCTTATATACAGTATATAGAAGAAATATATACAGGACTGCAGATTTACAGTACACACCTTCTTCTTCCTCCTCTTCCTCCAGCTCTTCTTCATCGGGTGTCTCAGCTACCAGTGAACGAGTCTCCACCTGTTTCTGAAGTTCTTGCAATTTGCTCTCGTAAACCTGGACACCAACACACAGGGAAGAGGAAAGAGAACATGGACAACTGTCCATCAACCGCAACAACAGGAGAGCTCATCTGGCCATCACAGTAACAGTTCAGCCCAAAATACACATTGTGCCTTATTCTCCATTTTGAAAACCTACAATAATATCAGACTTTCATGTCTAGCACTTAAGTGCTAATGACTGTTAGTGGTCCGAATGACACATGGACACATGCAGCTAAATTATGCAATATGACATGAAAGTGGCCGTTTTCCCCTTACTGTACAGTTTCAGACCTGTACTGAAAGCCTGCATGTTGGGGGCCTTGTTATATCAGAATATATATTATTGGGCTAGGCAATATTCAAAATTTAATATCTCCATACAGTCCAGTCCAAATTTCACGATACACAATGTTATTGTGGGGTGAGGTTTTTTTTTGTTTTTGTTTTTACAAATATAATGATATTGTTGTATTTCATGTTTCAAATGTTCAATTCATAATGTATGATTATTATTGTATTTTGTTTAAAGTGTGTTAATAATACATTATTGTATCATAATTATTTTATGTTTCATGCTGCCACTAAACAGCAGTTCAAGGTTTTATTTGTCACATGCCAATGTACAATGTACAGTAAGAAAAGGCAGGGAGATGAGGGTCAGACTGGGCAGCAGGGCAGACTGTGCAAAACTGTTAAAAATAAATAAATAAATAAAATAAACAAATAAATTCTCAATGTTATGAAAAATATTGTATATTCGATATTATTGAATATCAGCCCAAGCCCAATTGTTATCTTGTTACATGTGTCAACCTAAAACAATCTGTGAGGATAAAATATTTTACACAATCAAGAATCACATGTCTACCGTTCATAATAAGCCGTGTTCAAAAAAAAAAAAAAAAGCAAAAAAGTAAGAGAAATTATTATTACCTCTACTTTCTATATACCAAAGAATAGAGGGTAACTCAAGTCCTATGCTGGTGCAATGAATGAAAAACTTTCACCCTTTGCCATTTTTTTTCTGCAGTGAGTAAAAAATGTACTGGAAATTAAACTTCATGATACAGTGAAACAATATCTTATATTCTGAGAGAAATGGCTAGAGTGGAAAAAGAGAGGTGCTGCTAGAAGCTTAGTCAACTGTAATCCAATGAGGGGCGCCATCCTCATCAGAGCAGGACAGGCTGTGGTCCCGATGACCTCATCCTATTTGTTCAGTGTCTTCTGGGAAGACAATGCAGCCTTTTCATCCGTCATTACCCTCCTCTCTGCTGAAATCCTACCAACCAACTAAAAGCTGAAATCTCTCAATTCAAACAACCTTTGGAAATCCACCAAGTAAGTTTCACTGACTGTATTCATCTGCTTGAAGCTGCTATTGTAAAACAGTGTGTACCATAATGAAGCATGTGAGGATAGTTTTTTCAAAAAATTTACATCTAAATTCTAAATTTAGTTTAATGATGGCAAGGCCAAAATTTAATGCCTTAAACCATATTCGTGGAATGGGGTAAATGTCAACAAATCTAGCTTTCATACCCACCCATGTTGCTAGTATATGTGCGACATTGCCATAATGTAGTATTAAATGATTACAGTGATGATAAATGGCTAATAATAAGGCTTTTATAACTTCTTGGGATGGAATTGTTATGTATATAGTTAATAGTATATATGTTTTATCAAAATAATTAAACTGTATTAATTTAAATATTTCCAGTACCTTTAACCTGACCTAAGGTGTTGTACAGTGTCTCAAATGGTCACTGCTGTGTAGTACACACATTTAGCGATCTGTTTCTGTGAAAACCAAATACCACCCATACATAACCAATAACTGCACTTGGAGCATGTCATTTTTATTTCAGTCATACTTTGAAAATAAATCTCCAGAAACACGGGGATTCAGTATATCCTTTTTTAAACCAGTGAACAATACTGTTCCAATGTATACTGTATGTTTGCACAAAGTGCTCGATTAAGGAAGCAACACAACTTGGTACACAGCCACAATGAGGCACTTGATATTGCAGATTCAAAACACAGACATACAACACTCACTCTTTGAACTGAGACCTAACACAGACATGTATGTATATTTCAAAAGAACAGTATAAGGTACATTGTCCATTTAATGTTGTATCCTTTCCAGCTTACCTGGTCATTGTCAGCACCAGTGCATACGTTAAATAACATTCTTTAATGGAGCATTTATTAGAGCTGAAGAAATGTAAGCTACTGCATGCAAAGATAGTCAAAAAGACATGAGGCGTAGGGTGAAGAGACTAGACTTGCATATGCCATGATATCATTTGGTTTTTGTTACAGCATAGTAAGGCAGAATATATACTGTCAAAACTTAAAATATAAAACAGAAAATAATTTCATCATTCTGAACCCAAGTTTAAAATTTTGATAGTCCATCAAAATTCTCTCCCATGCTGCTGAGTGTGACTGTTTCTCTAAAATGATTTGAAGGCCATCTGATATTGAAATGTGATAATAAATGGGTTCTTTTAAAGCTACAAATGCAGAAAGGAATCGACAGATTGACAGGCAGACTTGCTGCTAATTCAAATAAGCATCAGCTAAAGTACAGAGACAAAAAACTGACGTGGACACTGGTTTCATACACCATCACAATGATAGATCCACCTAGGCAGCGTGAATATGTAGCATTTGATGCAGTTAAAACAAGGCAATCCTCAAAATTTCATTTGACATAGATATTTGTCCTTAATAACATTATGCAAGCACTTCAAGTCTTTGTCCTCCCTCCAACATTTTTAAGGCGAGTCTTTGGGAACCATGACAACACTCAGGACATCCATTCAAAACAGTGAACTCTGTGCTTATTCAGTGAACCACAAACCCAAATTGTAATATTTAGACTTGAAAGATAAATCGGCACTCAGTTTAGGATGTGTGGTTTATACTGGAGAAGGGAAATTATTCTGAACATTCTGGACCAGATACAGTGAAATTGTGTGTTCCTTGTCTTACAGTTAGGTCCATCTCCAGCATTTCAGCATAGTGGGTCTTACATTTGATCGGGTCTTTAGTAAACTCCAGGATCTAAGAGAATTATTAATGAAAACATCCTGGAGAGAAATATAGAATTATATAAAATGTGGGTACTTTGTCAGGATTGTTTAAATTTTTTGTTAGAATACAGTACTACTTATTGCTTAACATTAAAATTAGTGTATTCACTAACTAATTATACAGCTTATCCATGACTTGAGGAAGTGCAAAGTACTGTAATACAAGTAAGTGGCAGTTACATATTTGAAGTAAATCTAAAAAGAAAAAAGAAAAAAGTCAAGCAACCAAGGGGCTTACTTAGAATTTGAACAAACCAGTATGTTATTACTAAAAAGTTAGTTTTTCATAGGTAAGTTGTAAGGGGTAAGTTTCCTTTACCAAATTTCGCTGAAGCCTTGTGCATGAGCACTGAAATAAAACAAAGGGAAAGAAAATACTAAATTGCAGATGCACAGCAGATTAATTTAGTTAGTGCATAAAAAGGCACTTTCTGAAAACCACTTTCTTTGACCACTACTTCACTCTGTTTAAAAGGCAGTCACGCAATTGATTAATGCATCAAGTTATTCAGTAATCAATTTTAAAATGTCCAACATACTGGTCTTTTGATTCCAGATCAAGGCCAATGAAGATTTATGACAGTAACTGTTTTATGAGGTACAAAACAAAAGTTAAAACTAGGAAAACAACCAGTTTGTCCATCCTAACATTCAATTACATGGTACACAGAAACAAATAAATATAGGGTGCTTTTTGATTCCTAATTTGCGCTGTCTTGATGAAAATTAAACACTTCAATGTGTTCATACTGTAGTGGCTAAAAACATTCTTGATAAATCAATACTAAAATGGCAAAAATGTAAACTCAGAAATTCAACCATGAAGATAATTTTGGCAAATCAAAGCGTGATTGCTGAACTGTCACATGTTGAAAAATGAAAAGAGTAGGCATGGCATGGCAAAAACAGTCCCCTTCTCATTTGTTGGCTTCAATTCCTTATGACAGCTCTCCTAACGCTAATGATGATAGCGCACACAATGCAGCAAAAACTGATAAAACAGCATATATTATGATGATGATAAAATGTCTTTTTATAATACATACAATACTTTTGGATCAACCAATAACACGCTGATCAAGTGCAAAGGTCACAGTCAGTTTTAGCTGTTTGATTCACACAATTCTGAGCTGTTGTGATCTGTAATGTGTTTGCCTACTAAAAGTATTTGAAACTAGTCCACGAGTCCCACTCAGACTGTCGTCTCTCTGCTGGCTTTTAGATTAGGGGCAGACATTTGCCTGCGCATTCGCGGAGGTGCCTGAAAGTTGATTGGATGGTTAGCGTGGTCAGTGTGATGGTACTGCTGGTAGCCACTGCAGCTGCCATCTGTATACATCATGCTATTATAGTGGCATGGCTGTTGTTGGTGGTGCAACTGGGGATGTGCTGGCTGGTTCTGATGGTGGCGGGGCTGGTAGAAAGCCTGGCTATGCCTCCTGTTGCTTTCAGGCTGCTGCAGTGACTCCATGGAGCCAGAGGGCCGCTGGCGGTGATTAAAAGAGTTGCTGCGGCCTCGTTCATGGGGCTGCTGATGTTGGTTGTTCCTATAGTTATGTCTGTGACCCTGGCTCAAACCTTGCTCCAAGTCTTTGCTTCTTTGCTGGACTGATGAGCTTGGCAATGGTGGAGTGACTTGGATAACTGAAGCAGCCATCTTTTCTCTAGACTGTACTCCTTCTCCACCCTGGCTTTCTACCTCTTCTTCCTCTACAGCTTCTTTGGGCACCTTTAGCTCAATGACCTGCTCATCTGTAATTATGATATGAGTACCGGGGCTCCATGAGTTGCGGTGCTTAGGGTTACTTTTGAAGGGGAAGCGTAGCTTGCGGTCCTCTGGGGGTATAAAGCGATGTGGTCCGGTATGCCGGCGAAGCTGCTTGGAGATCTCTTGTTGCTGAAGGTTCTTGAGGCGCAACTGCTCTTGACGCATCCAGCGCATGTGGCCTCGCTTTAGGGTTGAATCATCTCCTGCACTTTGGCCTGTTTGTGATTCTACTTCCTCTACCTCAGGCTTTTCTGGCACAGGAGGTTTTCCATCTCGAGGACTTGGAGTTCTGGCTGCGGAAGTAGAAGTGCCTCCGCTGGGTGGCTTTTCTTGGCCCTCTGGGGTGATGAGTGGAAGGACCTTTTCCATCTTGACCATCTTGTTTCTGAGAGCACGGATCTCCTCATCCTTCATGTTATTCTGTTTCTTCACCTCCTGCAAGATGTCCTCAAGTTTGTCAATGTGCACTTTTAGTTCATCCATAACAACCCCTCCTGCTCGAGACCCATTGGTGATGACGTCCTCAATGCGCTCATCGCCAACTCCTACAGTGTCCCAAACATCCCGAGCCACTGCCCTCCACGAGTCCCGCTCGTTGGGGTCCTTCTTGCTGTAGCTAGCACAAAGCTCCTTCATCTTTACAATAGCTAGTGCCTCAATTTCCTGCCGTGTGTGGCGAAAATCATTGAGCGCTACTTCATAACAGATTTCTTTGACAGCCTGGATCTTCAGGTCTGAGATGGTCACCCACTTGGAGTCCTTGGTGATGCGGCGCCGCTGAGGGATCTGGTACATTTTGACCGGCTCTCTTCTCTTCCCGCTGCTGGGTAATCCACACTTTTTCACTATAGTTTGTAGCTTGCTGGGAGGCAGCTTTTCCCTCAAGGAAGTGATCAGTCTCCAGCTCTCTTCACAAGACCTCTTATCTGAGTCATCCCCACTATCAGAGTCTCCATCCTTGAGAAAACAACACAGGACAAAAACCAAATGGTTCCCAAAAAAAAAGCAGAAATTACAATGGGAAATCAAAGATAGGATGAAAGGATGTTTTTTTTTTTTTAAAGAATGATTAAAAGGTATAAATATGCAACATGGGAACTTCAACCATGAGTTAAGTCCAAGTTAAATAAGAATATAATGCTTGGGCTTAGACAGATGTTCAGAATTTTGAGGTTTAGGATTTTTACCAAAGAGGACTATTACACTGTAATAATATTATCTTAATATTTTGCATACATCATTGCTATACAAGATGTATGGCAGCATGCAGTGTAATGTCCAGGGCTATGTTCAAAATAAAGATAGCAAAACAAATGTACATACAAACAGTGGCTTCCATTGACTTTCTTGTCAGTTTGCCTTTCTCATATTGTCTTCAGTGAAATGGTAATATGGATATAAATGAATGAAGACTTTTCACATCTCAGAAATGGGGATGTCACCTTTAACAATTTTGTTCCCAATGTTGCATATTGATATTAAAAGTAAAGGTAAAGCATGTCTATCATGATTAGAAAGGAAATATCAATAGAGGATAGTAGCTGATTGGAGCACTTCTGTATTGTTTTGTGATATTCCTCTTCTTAATTGAAAATTTTGAGATTTGAAAGCTGGATCCCAAACATGCTACAGTGGCATGCATGTAGATGGATTTTGGAGCTTTCCCCCTTTAGTCCAGAAGGTTTGAGTGGCTTTAGTATTAGCGGTGAGTTAGAAGACAGAGTGTTCTTGCAGTTGATCAGAAAGCCAGTAGAGAGAGGAGAGGCAGAAGTGAGGGTAAGTGTTAATCCACTACAAGAAAGATGTTAGTTGGAAAAAAATGCAGTTTCTCATTTTTTGTAGACAAAGTACATTACAGATCACAACCAGTAGGTACAGATAATTCAGGTCTTGTGTATGATATTGTATCTATGGCTTGAATTGAGTGTTGCTGGGAGTCTGAACCCTATGCCTGTAGCTCTGCACATAAAACCACCAGAGTATGGAAGAGGTCTGTGATTCACTGATTCAACTGTGAGCAGTTGATAATTCTGTTGTTGAGCCATGCCTTCGGTGTGCTACGAGATGCCAGGTAAGGCTAGCAAAGAGAGGTAGCCAAAGAAGTCAATGAGAAACCACATTGTCACTATCCGTCAAAAAACTACAGCAGGAATTTTTTTGTTATCACAATGCATTGTACATGTCAGCAACTGCATTGAAGAGATGAAACTCAGGACAAAACAAGAGCAAGAAAACTAGAGTAGAAATCTAATCCAAGCAAATCAACAGCCACTTCAGATTTGACCAGCTCAACAGCAAACACTGCAACTTAGTCCAGAACCAGTACTGAGTGAGTTAAGAAAACATGCTATTAACATGAACCATGCAAAATCAGCATCACTTAATAAAAACAATGGTATGTGTTTCAATACTGTCCAATATTCAATCAGTTATAAATTAATTTTGATCTTAATATCAAATCAACTTTAGCTGTAAATTGCTGTTTTGCAAGATTCAGATCCACTATAGAAGACGCAGGAAAAGGGAAAACAGGGATTTGGAAAGGGGAAAGCTTTACAATCTAATCCTCGCTCAATCAAATTGCTACAGAAAAATCAGTTCAACTCAAGAAGAAGGCAAGTAAAAGCTCATCTGTCTCAAACCAGAAAAACTTCCATGCAAGAAGAACAGACATGCGCTAAGAGTAGAGGTGATTCATACACACGCACACACACATACACACACACACACACACACACACACATCTCAAAAGTGTCAGAGCTCAGAGTGAGAATTAGTACTAGTCGGATTTAAATGGACCAAGTGAAACTGTCTTACAAAAACCAAAAACTAGCTTTCCAATTTTAATTGACCAAAGCAAACCATGCTTTAACTTTAAATTCCACAGATATCCTGCAGTACATTTCACTCAAAATAACACACAAAATATCACAAGCTAGCTGGATCCTTCAAGAATCTGCCTGCTTGATTGTGATATAATCATCATCTAAGTGATGGCCTGACATCTACTTAACCCACTGTGTAGTTACAACTAACTTGTCTGCAATCTCTAACATGAAGATTACAGGGAAGAGAATGAATCCATAAGTGGGTTTGGCTAAATACCAGCTTATTTGAACTCACCAGTCGCTGTTGCTCCAGAAGTTGGTCTGCCTCTTCCTTCTCTTTTTTGTACAAGATTTCCATCTCAGTGAGCCTACATAAACAAGTAAAATGTATTGTCAAATTCATCACAAAACTCATGATATACTTTATCTATATCTTTATTTGAAACCACATAAATCATATTACTGGCCCCATTAGAAATGAACTGAAATAAAGCACGTAGGATAGATTTTATACCTTTTCTCCATTTCCTGCTTCATGTCGATGCCCTGCTTCTCTAGAAGCTCTCTCTGAGCAAAGGTCCAATCCACCGGCTCCACCGGGGTTTCGGCAGATGGCGTTTTCTCCCTTTCTGCTCTGGCCTGTTCTGGGTGGTTGAACCGGAACACATGGTTCTTTCCCATAATGATACGGTTACCTGAAAGAAGGTGGGGCACATGTATGGCAGGAATAAACACGGAGAGCATAAAATTAAAAAAGACATGGCTCCATCAGTGCTGTAAAAAAAAAAGTAAATGCAACCAACAGCTCCAACCTTTGTTTTGATCATGTTTTTTTAGATTTAAAGTAAAACATGCGTGTTATGAACTGTGCTTCATAACTATGATTTGTGAAGAAAAAAACCCCACTCTATGAGTCATCTATGGTATGGAAACCAGTCAGCTCATTTACCCCAGTCCGCAGAGATAATACAAGTATCACATTTACAGATTATTTACAACTTTGTTTTCAAAAATGAGGTATGTACCTGAACGAAGCTGGATCGCATCTTCAACACGCTTGCCATTGACGTAGGTTTCTGATCCCTCACAGGGCACCAGCATGACGATAACTTCAGCAGAAACACACCAATCAATTAACAGTGACTCATTCTGTGTGACTCATGCATTGTTCACTTTCAAATGGTAAAGGGCAAATACTGTATGTTATTTATTGTGTGTAGTGATTACTGTCATTTAGGCTATAAAGTTTCCTTTAGCAACAGAAAATGCACAAATTTTATCCACTGACTGCATAGGTTGTTTTTGCAGGTATTTATCGACTATAGATATCTGTCATGAAATTAAACCAGAAAAATTATCTCTTTTTTTGTTATCAACTCAGATATTCAATCCATACACGTGCCAAAGAAAACACATGTAAGCAAATTCATAATAAAGAGCCTCACCATCTCCATTGGCATTCCTCTCGCTGCGGAAGATACAGTGCTCTTCCTTGATATGAGCACCACTCAGAACAATGTCTTGTCGCCGTTCAGCGTCAGCTTGACCCACCCTGAAACAATCATAGAGGCCATTTTGAGAGAGTGAACTCTGCTCTCTCATTCTGTTGGCAGCCATTTCGGCAAAAAGTCAGTACCAGAAGTTAAATGGAACCTTTAAACCATTACTTATGAGAAGGCAGTACTCCTAAACTATAGGCTCACTACAGGCACTTCATCCGTGATTCTGCCATCTATTATTGTCCCCCTGGAGTGAGATTGTAACAAAATACTCAACAGGAATAGTCTACAGAGGGGGCCAAACGGACAAAGAGGGGAGGAAAGTAACTTTAGACCATAAAAAAAATTGTATCAGTGGCAGGTTTTAAGCCAGTTCTCTCTGGCTCTGAGTGTTCCTCTTATTTAACATCAAAAGAGGGAAAATGAAATACAGAGTCGTTTTTTTTTAGAAACCCTGCCTGAGAGAAATTCAAAACTTTTCCACATCCTCTGCAGCATTTCAGTGTCATCATTCAAGTTGGTTACCTTGTAATTCCATCTTTGATGTAGTAGAGTAGACACTCTGACATGAGAGGATCCTCATTCAGGTTCACCAGATGTGGAGTCTACAGATGAAATGTAAGAGGTAGAAAGTTCACTACAAATACAATTCCAGGATTTCACTATTTATCAATATTCAACATGACAGATATTATAACAGTATTAGAAATGCTAATCAAGTGAAAATAATTTCATAACAAGCGCAGCTGATGGCCTGTGAGTGATACACCATCTCCTACATGAACGTGGACAGAAATGGTCACTTTGACACCGTGCTGACAGCTCTAGAGTCTGATACTTCACAGAACTAACAAACGATGCTAGGAGCTACTCCTCCAAACAACCAACCTTTTTAGGGGAAAACACCCCATTAAAGTCTGCATAGAGATCGCAAGGCTTCTCAGCGAAATGCTAACCCATGGAGCAGCAATGAGTGAAAGGAGAGGAGAAAAAATGAATGGATGACAAATGGATGTGAACTAAAAAAAAACAAAAAACCTAACACACAACAATTAGCAGTGGGGGGTTGGGTGGTCAAAACATGCCTAAAGAAGGATTATTTCAAAGAGGGGAACCTAAAGCTGATCTAGTGACATCTGGCGCTGAACAGTCACTGATTAAAAGATAACAGATATCAAGCACAATCTAACATGTCTACTGGTCTTTATGTTGCTGCCACACAGTGCTGCGTCTACTGGACATAAGGAGAGTGAGGAGAATATACTACTGACTGTAATTTAAGCAGCATCATGGCGGCAATAATAGATCTAAGCAGTCAAAGGAAAAGTCTGACTAATTTACTCAGATTCAAGTATTATATTCAAGGATAAACAGTAGTTGTCAATGTAAAATTTAACTTCAAATGAGCTTAAATGAAAAATCGCTTATCAAATCTTAATGTGACTCCATCATGTCAAAGCTGATCAGGAAAAGGGAACTGTAGATGTCCCACACACTAATTAAACATAATAAACAGAGACCAGAAGTAAAAAAGAAAGTGAAGATCTGGGAAATGGAAATAAACACACTTTTGATTTTAAATCACTGGTAAAGACTCACTAAAGTCTGTGATCTATGGGGCTACGTCTAATGCAGGAAAGGCGCTTCATCTGCTGATTCAATTAAACAAACCTTCTTGGTGGGAAAACAATCAAACTGCTCATCAAATGGCCTTTCATCACTAAGCTGAGTGTGTGAAGGAAGCAAATGACAAAGAGTGGAAAGACAGACGGACAATGATAAAGTGAACAGATGAGAAAAACCAGCGACTGCAGAGGGAGGGTTCTCATGGAAAAAGATAACATGAAAAACAGAAGTCAGGAAGTGATGGTGGAAGGGTGTGCATGACCACTCATGGGAAATTTGACATAATCCCCCGACATCAATGTCTGTGTCTCATGTCTGTTCTACCTTTTTAGGAGAGAATACGCCCAAAGTGCCCCCATCTTCACGGATTGCCACACCCATCTCTGCAAGCAAGGCCTCCCTGTAGTGAAGGCAAAACATCTGTTATCCCAAGAATATCAGTTCAAATTGACCTACGTTGGAAAACATTGCCAGTTCATTCACACAGCATGTTGCATACATTCTCTTTCAAAGATTTCTGCAGCAGTGAAATATATACTGTAATTCTGTCCATTTATTTCCAGCAAAGACCTTTGTGTTGATAAGAGAAAGAGGATGAGAAGTGATGGTGTGTAACATTACAGCAAGTGATTTGTGGTATGACAACAGGCAGAGAATGGCACCAGTGAGACTCAGTGGATGGACAGTAACATGGTTGATGTCTGCAGCTACAGATGAGTGGATAAAGGGGGAGAAAGGATGTGAGAGGGGTGATTGTGCAGCAGAGTGTGACGACAGAGAAATGAAAGGAAATGGACAGAATGAGTGCAGAGGAAATGAGACAGATAGGTGAAGAAAGTGAGACAGACAGCACCGTGGGGTGAAAAGACAGAGACAGAGCTATTGGGGGTTGTCTAACACTGACAGAATATATTGAGGGAGGGGTGGAGGCACACGTAGAACACACGTCACCCCCCTTGAGAGATGGAGATGAATATGGACAGACATTGTCGGTCAACACTGACCTCTCCATGCGGATCGCCTCAGTCTTTCGCAGTTTCTCTTCCCAGGTTTCATTGAGCTCGGCAATGATCTTTTCTGATTCCTGAACACAAGAGGCAAAGTGTGAGGAAACACAACAAAGGTTAGGTAATCAGACCTGGAGGTAATATGTTTAACTCAGTAACAACAGGCCCACCCAGTCTGGATTCATCAGGTTCATATTTTTCACAGTAGAAGGTGAAGAAAACAAACAGAGTTCAAATCTAAAGAAAGAGGAGCAGCATAACATACTGATGTATATTATGGAAATTATACAATAAAAAAGTGTTACCCCACTGATAATGTTGATTAAAGCTCTATTAATCATACAGTACAGCCACTACACCTGTTCTTCATCTTTTAAAGGCAGTGAGGAATTTAATCATCTGTTGCTCTGCATATTGATATATTCTGTGACATTTTTATTGTAAATGTTTAATATTGCAGTATATACTTATCTTGGCTTAACATTGCATTGAATTGTTATGAAGTTAACCTTCACTGTAATCTTTGTATCTAGATCACTAAAATAGCTGCAGCGCCTTTAGAATGTGGATATTATGCGCCTCACTATTAAAGCCAATAAGACTGGATCTATTTTAGTCCAGTTTCCTCCGTATCTGCGTTGGTGCTTGACGTCATTGGATGACGGACAGACTGGGCACCATGGTTGCCATGGAAACTGCAGCTCCTCATGGTTGGTTGTTACAATCCTATGTGCTCCCTTATCAGAAGAGTGAGAGGTCTACTGCGAGCCTTAGAGACATGAAGTTGAGAGGCCACATGAGGACTGACAGGCAAAATGTGTTTTGATTAAAGGCTATGTGTGGGCTAAAACTAAATCACAGCCATGTACTTCTAATTTACTGAACAAATACTACAGTGCACGTACTGGTAAGGCTTTTATTGTAAGTTGGTATGAATTTCTTGACTTTTAATCAGCCATAAATCTATTCACTGATATTTTATGTTGTTTTATTATTATTTCTATTTTATGTTTATTATTTATCATTAACTATTATCATCACTACTAATGAGCTACTGGATACCTGAATTTCTCCTAGAGGATAAATAAAGTATACATACATAAACACACACACACATAAATATATATATATATATACTTACTGTATGTGTGAGTGTGAGTGTGAGTGTGAGTGTGTGTGTGTGTGTGTGTGTGTGTGTGTGTGTGTGTTGTGTGTGTGTGTGTGTGTGTGTGTGGTGGTGTGTATTGTAAAGATCCACCTGCTTTAGTTACAGCCCTTATCTACTGAGAAATCTTCCAAAGGCACATTTTTTTTTAACACTGTTCAAATTGAACATTGGACATTGATAGAAGTATTTTGATTAACAATAATAGAATGCCAATATTATATTATTGCAATATTGAACAACAAGCACTGAGGGAGATCTCTTCTATGTCACACACTTGTAAATATACATTTCTCCCAGCAGAAGGTGGAGAAAACACACCGTTACAGAAGAGGACCCAGTTGAAGAAATTAAATATCAATAAATAATTAAGAATTTGATTTCAAGCAAAAAAGATGTTCTTGGTCATTTAAGTATGTTTCCATAGTGTTTGAGGATTATCTCTTTTGATTGATGTATGTATTATGAAAATTTTCATTTAAGCAAATGCTTCGCATGAACATTTATAAGCCAGCCTATTACACAAGTCAGCTATACTGAGGGTACGGTTGAATGAACTGGCTGAATGAAAACTAAGAGCTTTAGTTCTTTTCAAATCTATAGTAAGAAACAGAAGAACTTAAAAGTTTTGCTAGTGGCAGATAATTTAACTAGAGACAGGAGTGTGATTTGGAGAGTGCTGAAACCTACACAGGCCTAGTTTACCTTGAGTCTTTCAATGGCCTCCTCTCCTCCAGGTGTGGACATGATGCGCTCCTGGATGCTGGTGACCGACTGCAGGCCCCCCTGGCTGCACAGTGAGCCAGAGGATGGAGAGGCTGTCAGGGAACCAATAGGGGCTGTGGAGAAATGGCCAGGGCGTTGGTTCTCTGAGGCTACCAAGTATCTATTCTTATTGTTCTGAATGTCTTTGAGGTCTGAGCCAACAGCAAGAGAGAGAGAGAGAGAGAGAGGGAGAGAGGAGAACAACACAAAAAGAGGTGGGGTAGGCCAGGACAAGGATAGAGGGAATAAACCACATAAAATGGAGGAACCAAATACCAAATAGGAAGAGAGAGAGAGAGAGAGGAAAGAAGGAGATGGGAAAATAGAAAAAGACAAAGGGGAGGGAAGACCAATGTAAGGCACACATTGTATGTCAAAAGGTTAAGACAAACTCCCAGCATAATGGTCAGCTACAGACAGCAGCAGTTTTCACTCCAGGTAGTTTTCAAGTCTGCTTACCCCAACTCTTCAACTTCCAGAAAAAATGCATTACATTTCAGCTTGCACTCTATTAGAGAGTTTTCAGAGCGCTGTTTTTATGTGGGTCAAAATTACTGTGCAGAACAATTAACTCTGAGCAATACATTTCTAGTGTGTGCAATTCTAAGGAATTAGGATGATGTCATTTTGTTGCTTTTGCTTTGAACTCTAACGTGGATGAAAACACACTGTGTGAAAACCGCTATCAGTGTACCAACTACAGGATGGGAGGGAGATGGAAACTGCAAGAGTATCCAGAGGGAGGACAGATGAGAGTCGTTGACACATGCTGCCAAAGTTCAGCCCGCAGTCGAGCAGTTTGCTTCACCGCACACACACATGTATGTGTGCTCTCACACACACGCACTAAAACAGAGCCATGGCAGCCTCACTAAAGGTCATGCACCTCATATCAATATAAGCCCCTCAAGGACCTCAGAGGTAACACAGACCATCCCCGCTAACAACCAAATTTTTAAAAAAGACCAATAAATGCAGAGTTTAGTTGATTTGGAAGGTGCAGCCATTTTGGAGAGGAAAATGTATACAGTTGACACTTTTTATATTCCAGAACTAGAATTACCGACTTGCAGTTGTATTGCTTCTGTCAAGTTGCAAGAAATATGGTCACAATCTCCCCTTCGGTTCCTGAGTTGTAGCACTGAATATGATGTAACATTATGATGTCACAGTGAATCGTCACTTCATCATTTTATCTTGTTGGACATATAATTAGCATATGAATTAAAAGTGTGTTTTCTGTGGTCACACTGACCTTGAACTTTGATCACCAAATGATCTAATCAGTTCATCCAGTTCATCAGTCCAAGTGGACTTGTGTGCCAGATATAATGAAATTCCCTCTGGGCGATCCTGATATATCACGTTCACAAGAACTTAAGGTTACCATGACCTTGACTTTTGACCAAACCTAATCAGTTCATCAATGTTTGCACCAAATCTTAAGAAATTCCCTCAAGACATTACTGAGATACAGAGTTCACAAGAATGGGACGACAACCTGACAACATAATGCTCCCAGTCTTGGCTGTCACTGTAGGTGAGGCATGAAAACAGAGAACTCATCAAGACCCAAGTACTGAGCTTTTCAACTTAACTAGTACACAGTGGGATACCAGCAGAATAATGTGTGCTCTTGCCGTGCAGATTAAGTAGAGCAGGTGAACACTGACTTTTGGGTAGGTAAAGAGCATTTTCAAAGATTAGAGCTAAGGGGCAAGAGGGAGGATGCGTCAGGGATATTTGAGAATATAGCAGAGGGTACACTAGCAAACTAACTATTCAATACAAACTATTATAACACATCAAGTTAGTCAACTCTGTATACATACACCTCTGGTGTAGCTACTTAGAAATTCAAAATCATGCACCTTTCTGTCTGTAGCTTTGAGCCTCAGTTTGAGAACTGAGAAGTGGCATTCTAAAGCTTTGAGCACTGTCACCTGCAGCAAACGATTAGTAAAAGAAAACAAAATAAAAAGCAGAAAGACAACTGGCAAGAGAAGAAGCTTGAGAAAGTGAGTCAAAGGCCGGCATGGTGAGAAAATGATGCGGGTATATTGGGGGTGGGGAAGACAGACAAGCTAGTCTAGAGTAATGTTTCTAAAAAGGTATATTCCAAAAGTAACTTGTGATACAGTTGGATCTGAGCCTGCAAATAGCTGCCTCACCCCCATCATTCTGAAAAGTAACAGAAACACAAGCGCAAAGCATGCTAACCTACTGGCATGCTAACCCTCGCCAGATCAACACACCTACGGAAGCCTTGCATTTCTGAGATTCCTTCTATTGAGCTTTTGCTTTTTAGGCATTTACATGCAAAGCTGGTAGCAGATTAATATACAGGTAATGGGGGGGGGGGGTCGTAAGCAATGTTAGCTATTATTAATAGGGCAAATAGTGATAGACAATGCATGACTACCACACATATACACACATTTGATTCCACTTCCTGGGCAATCATCCCCCATAGGATCAACTGAGGGGAAGCAGGAAAAGATGAGAAGGGTCAGAGGTCAGCACCAGTAGAATGGGAGGAAAAGGTTACAGACATTTCTTAGAGAGCTGGATGAGAACAATAACGAGGATGATAAGAAATGACATGGAATGACTTGTTGAGTGCCATGTCATTAGGCATGATCTAAGCAGGCATTAGCTAATAGGCAGGTTATTAATCACTTCAGATATTAGAAGTTATTAATGGGCATATTATGTCTCTAATTGACTAGGCTATGAGCCATTACTCTTGTGTACAGCAAATGAAGTGTGATATTTTAATGTAGCTTTAAACTACCATTTGTGTTGTCAGTCATGATAAGCCAAATGTGACTTAATCAATTTTCATTAAATGACTTTGGAGTGCTTTTGTACAGTTTACAGCCTTTAATATTCTATAAATTAGTGTTCTATAGTAATTATCCTATATAGTGCATTGTCATATAGTCTGTAAGGAAGCATAATAAACCAGTATGGTGGTGAATAAGTTTCTAAAAGCTGTATAAGTCGTTTTAGTTTTGTACTAGGCACAGCTACAAGCACTGCAATGGAAACAAAGCTGAATGACTGAAAGCAATGAGACAGTGATGAAGACAGAAAATGTTGCCAACTAGTGGGAGGCCCTGAGAGAGAAGGCAGATGCCGAGTGGCTGCAGATATGACTGGCTGTGACAGCAGATAACTCACTGTCCAGGATGTCTCCCAAGCCCTGGGCGCGGAGCAGTTCCTTCAGTCGAGCCACTTCATCCTTCAGGTCACGCACCAGCTTATTGTTGGGATCTTCATTGATAACAGCATTGCATTTGATGTTCTTGGCTCGGTCGGCATAGCTAAAATTCATAATAAACTTTATTTGGAAAGGCTTGAAAATCGAAATAAATTGGAATGTGAACAATTATCTTATTTGATTATTTTGTATGTTATCATCTATATCCTGAATGGAAACTTTACCGGAGAGTGCTGAGAGTTTCATCATAGTTGATATCTGCAGGACTGAGGGCAGCTACCATAGCTGTTCTGGAGTTTCCACCTGATAACAAAAGATCAGTAGAGATTTCAATTATGTGTCAATGTGTGTGCAAGGCCATTTTTCTGACATACTGTATGCAGACCTGAAGAAGATTAGTATTAGATTTGTTTTGCATAATACAAGAGGATTTCCATAGCAATGTAAAGTAAAAAAATGCTGAGCTCGGAATAAAACACTACTAAAGCTAAAATCAATGCTGATTACTAATTCCACTAATGTAAGACTTCACTCTCATTAAACATTAGACTGCTATGTGCCAGCTAAGATTGAAGATACCCTGTACACCTCTCCTATGCAGGTCTGAACCAATGACATGGGTGTGCTTGTCTAGTTTGGTTGAAATACAGTCTGCTGACAGTGTTCTTCTTAAATTGGCAGAGAGTAATGTACACTAGCTGCAGCCATCTTTTTTTACCCCTACTTCACATTACAGGATACAGATGGTTCCATTTTTCTTGCCACCCAGAAATAAGGATTTCGCTTAATCGTTCACATACATAAATGTCCCGACTTTCCATTAGTAAAGCATGTTTATCAGGTTATATTAATGTTCATACCGAGGTTCTCCCTCAGCAGCCATGTCAGAACAGAGTCTCTGTATGGGATGAAGTCAGTCTTCTTCTTCTTCTTGCTCTGCAGTAAACAAATCATTCAATTGGCTGGCAGAAAAGAAAACTGACAACTACTGTAAGTCTTTTGTTTTTAATATTGAGTATTAGGAATGGCGGTAAAGAGTGAACAATATTAGGATGCAGCATGACAAATCCCTATGTAATGGACAAGTGGTGAAGTAAAATGAGTACAGGCCTGATCTGATGCACTTTTGCTACTGTGCAAGGATTTTAATGTGCATGGTGAATAAAAGCACAGCATTTGGGTGATAAAATGGTAGTGGCAGAACTTTGTGAAGCAACTTCAACGTTGCACATGGCAAAAGTTTGTCAAATCTGCCTTGTGGGAGGAATCAAAGGTTAGTGGTTGAGCTGTCAAAGGGTTTACCTTGCTGGTACAGTTATCCTGTGTAAGCAAGCATTACAAGGACAAGAGGAGAGAAAATAGAGAGGCAGACATTACAGCATGCCAGGCTACAAACATTAATTCCTTGAGAAGACAGGGTAAAGTTGTATAGGGTAAGAGAGGGGCTGAAAGGGAGGAGGAGGAGGAGGAGGAGGAGGAGGAAAGGAAAGAAAAGAAATAGAAACAAACATACAACGCTCACCACTTCAGCCAAGGCGGAGATAACCTTTCCTAACGTGGTGAGAGATTTGTTGATGTTCGCTCCCTCCTGTAATCACAGATAAAAATTTTTTGTTCAAGATCAATCAAGTTGATACTAGTGAACTGATTGTTAATGCAGCTGCTGGGTGATATAAGAAACTTACCTTTAGCCTGGTGCCTTTAGCTCCAGTGGAATCTGCTCGTTCACTCCCTGCCAAGTCTACCAGACTAATTTTACTGACCTGAAAGGAGGGAGTAAATGTATTTTAGTTGCATCAAGCTTATAAATAATGTACATTTGAAAGATAACAAACTGAGAGAGGATGAGGATATTACTGAAACAAATGACAGGGACAAAGTACCAAAAACAAAGTTAATGAAATAGTTAACAAACCAAACCGTCAAAAATATCTGAAAGGAAGTGTAAACCATCCTAAACATTTGAACGTTATTGTCAAGTGAGATGCAGCTAGGCACTAAAATCTGATAGAGTGGCTAAACACAATAGGCATTGTGCTTACAATAACACTGTGGTCTTTGTCTCTCTGTAGTAAGAGGAAATGCTAAAAGTCAAATCTAAATAGGCTCTCTTTATTTTTCCTTCCCCAATCACCACCAACTTAGAGGACCATGGGAGAAATCTTAGACAAAATCAAAGATGCAAACTTAAAAAATGAGCCATGAGAAAAAACAGCATTAAGGTATTAACATGATTAAGTGTGAATCGTTCACAATATAATTTAAGAAACAGAAGGTGACTGTTTTTCTTGTCTCCTCTGACCTTTTCTGTGGAGAGGTCTGTCTCGCTGTCGTGTTTCCTCTGTGTGAAGACGATGGTGAAAACAGCATGGGACCTGCTGCTGGTCTCGTTCATGTTGGTGGCGGCCACAGTTCTGCAGGTGAGCACATACCGCCATAGTTAGGGAAATACAGAACTGTATGGATATAACACATTTTTCTGAGCACTTTAATCGTTTTTTCCTTTTAAATTATTCAGTATTATTAACGCTAAATTCTTGGTCTTGGCTATTACTGGAGTTATCATCACTGGGCTTTACGGCTATTAGAGTGAATTGAGTCAAAAGGATTACTTTCTGTGGCGGAGGTGGATAATACTGTGAGGACACCAAACACAAATACACAAGGCGCACTCAGGGGGATAGTCACAGGGGAGATACGGGCTTTACACGCCATGTTCTAGAAATAAGCCTTCTGAGTCAGCACAGGAAGATTAAGGCAGAGTTCACTCCTCCCACAGGAGCTCCCATGACACAGACACACACACACCACACAGTAAAACATACACACACATATAACATGACATTAACTTGAGTATATATAGATATTTCATTGAGAAATACTCACTACCTGCAATAAAGAATCTCAGTTATCCAGAACAAGCTTGACATCCGTGTTTTATTAAAATTTAGGGAAGGTTCTGGTGTCCTGAATAAAACCAGCCATTCCTCGATCAACACCAAATCATTCTTATCTTGTCATCATTTTTCAGTCTAAATAATCTCATTCTTCTTAGGATGTGGGTTATCACATCATCACAGCTACCTCTGCTGCTACTACTCCCCTTCTTTCCCATGATCTCATCGTGATCCCAGGGCTCAGCTTACCTGGCCTTGTTGCCTGCATCCATTAGGTCAGCGATGTCTGTATAGGAGGTGACAGCTAGCTTGGACAGGTCCTCCACGTAGGGACCTAGAAGCGGGTGTTCTCGCACTCTAAGGTTCCCTTTGTTCTTAGGATTGAGCAAATCTCGCACCCGCTCACAGTAGATCTCCATGTAACTGACCTAGAAACATTTGCAAAAGTAACATAATATCTGTTCAGGTGCCTAAGGGCAACATAACAGAAACTTGAGGCTGAATGATATAAAATAATATAATGCAGGTCTGAAAAATGTAGGTATTTTACTATATAGCAGGATATTTGGCCTTTTCACTATATGTTCTTTTTTATACAGCATGTCTACAACAGAATCACTCGGTCATTTATTTTCCAGTTTCAGAAAAAGTGTATACTTGAACAAAATAATCAGAAGGAATGTGTCGAGGAAACCCAGCATCTTTGAAACTTCAGCCAAAATGTGATTGATTGACATTAGTCACACAATGGTGATAGATACAGAGAGACATGGGTTAACAACAGGGGACTGCAGATGCCAAAGCAGTCTGAGACTCACCTCTACTGAGTAGGAGAGCTCCTCTTTGTTGCAGTCCTCATTGATTTTCTCAAATAGATCTTCACAGAGCTGAGAGGCAGAAAAAGAAGACATTTTAGTGCAAATTAAGAGCACGTGGAGAGGTGAATAGCAGGGTGGTCTATGGATAATAAACAAAAACGGGATACAGAGTTTTGTACAAATGATCAACACATTTCTGCAGGGGACGTGTCGCTTGAACTGTGAGCCAGAATAGGGACATTACATTTGGATGCATTCAAGCCCTAAACATTGTACAACTTTAAAGCTGATGTTGAGTATGTTTTCATCCAAAATGTAATTTCCAGAAGTCAAATGGTAAGGGCAGAATGAGTGGCTGAATTGGTGTTAGTGTTTGGTGTCATAAGAATAGAGGTTAAGGCAAAGATATTGAAATATAAGAATAAGAATTATATTAGATGATCTGATCAAAACAAAACATGTAAGGGATGAAAGGGAGGTGGTCAACTACCAAACCTTGGGATGACATGTTTAGAACCAAGTCACGGTCACACCCTGCTTAATAATGCCATTATAATGTCTATCAGACCAATAAGGCCTAAATTAGAGTTGGGTCACAAAAAATTCAATAGTCATTGTTACAGAAAATCATTGTTTTTATCATATTTTTTGCAGGGCCCGGAGTCTAAGGCATGTACCATGTTAATACCGGATCCTGAGTTTTAATCTGGCCCATGTCCCTGTCTCTATCCCAGTTTTCCTCAATCAAGCAGTGGCTAGAACAATAAGCAAGCCAGGCTACAAAACAGCTGAACTGAGAAAAATGAGTATAAAGATATTATGCAGGAAACAATGTGTAAAGACTAAGAGCTAAAAAAATAAATAAATAAATCTCTCCGGTGAAGATGAAATCTCAACATTTCAGAGGTGGGTCAATTTTGTTTAGAATTATGACAGGAGGGTATGACTAAAGGACTAGTGGACTGACACCCATGTATTACTGAAAGTGACCCAAGACTATGACTCAGGGTATGTATTGTGAACATTCAATGATCTAAGTGAACAGGACAAGTAAACATTACAGACCACAAGACAAGAGGCTGCATTATATAGTACTTAAAATACAGTGGGAAAAGTCAGTGTCTTAATCTCTGCTATGCAATTCAGTAAACTGAGAATATGTTGTAAAACAAACCATGGGAATGATTCCCTCCTGCCCCTCCTCCTGCTTGCCCATCATGGTGTAGGATTTGCCAGCTCCTGTCTGGCCATAAGCGAAGATGCAGACATTGTAGCCCTCAAAAGCGTGCTGCAACATTTCTTTGCCGATGTCATTGTACACAAGGTTCTGTGATGCAAAAGAGGGGTCTTCCGGCTGTGGGAAAGACAGAGAAATGACTTAAAATGTATAGAGTTTCGATGAACACATGGTATTTAAAGCTGACAACATAATTCAAAATTACACCGGACACTGAAAAAGAGAAAATCTTCAAACTCACCGTAGTGTGCGACCAGTAGGAGTAATCAAAACTGAAAGTCTTTGCTGGTTCCTTTGGGGCTTTCGGGTTGAGAATAGCTGTGGGGGAGGAACAAAATTAGTAATGTAGTTGATAACATCTGGTTTTAATGTGAATATGAACAACTACACTGACATTCTTGTAGCTTGGTTTAAATGTTTCCTCAAGTAATTTCATTTATGATATTTCATCTATTGAATTTAATGTATTAAATTTTGTGTTGTCGCTTGAAAATTTTGTATATGTCCCTTCTACCACAATTAAGCATTTACCAAAACAAGCTTCTGTGCAGTCAGTTCAGATTATGGCAGGGAATCTTCAACAAACTAGTCACTGACACAGACATTTCTATCCTGGCCTTGTTGTTTCTTTGCAAGCCTACCGCTGTCTTTTTTGCACATTCACTTTCTCTTGCTTGCCAATTTGCTTTATCTCAATCTTAGATAACTTAGTCCTTTAAAAGTAAGTAACAAATAACAAAACTCCCATTCATGCATTTCTTCTAGTCCTTAAAATAACAAAGTATTGTATCTTAGTTTCACAAACAACACTTTGAATGGAGTGTCTAAATGCACCCAATTAATAATCATTTTTATCGCAGTTGGCAAATAGTGAGTGTTTTAAGATCCTGTTCCTCAATCAGAGCACTAACAGTGATATATTTGGAACAGAAAGTCACATGAACCAGCAGCAGATCATGAGCCATTGGCTTTTTTTGAGAACTGCAACTGTAGTGTCAACTTTTCCCAACACGCCATCTTTTAATTCATGCAGCACTGATAACACAGCTGAATGACAAACAATACAGAGTTTGAGTAATAACACATGTAGCCTACTCCTATTGCCCCACCTTCCCCAGTTTTATCTGCAAAAGGCATGAGGACATAATATTTCCGCAGTACGCAGTCATTCTCTGTGGCTGCACAGACATTTCTTAATGAACAAGAATCTGCAGCCATGCCTGGCATGTCACCCCTCTCAATCATGCTTACTGGCACCCCTGGGACTAGTGTTCAAGCTTTCCACACTGTGCACTGCATATGTGAAGGAGAGACAGGAAGAGACTAAGAATTTATTGTACGATATTTGTAGATATCCGTACCCCAGTTGTTCTTCAGATCCCCATCTTAAGCAAACTTTCATTGTCTAAAGCTGCCTTATGTCAGGGCAAATGCAGTTCACTCAGGCTAGATGATCAAATGCATACCTCCACCTTTAGAACTGGGGGGGGAGGTGGAGAGGAAGGACTGAGAATGAGGCTAGTGAAAAAAAACAGTTTGAGGGACTAAAAGTAACGGGTGCGCTCAAGGGCCTAGCAACAATCCAAACAGTGCAACAATAGTAACAGTGCAACAATAGAGACCAAATACAGGGTGAGAGGAAAACTGTGCAATCTGCATCTTAGCAAGAACAATATAATCTGTATTTAGAGCATTTACACTCTTTCCAAGCAAATCTCCAGTGAGCTACAAAGCAGTAATTAGTTTTGTTTCATGCAAATTCTGTCTGCTAATGGGCAAATTAAAGCCAGGTCTGCCTCCTCGACATGAGAGTGCTTGAGAGGCTTTTGCATCAATATGTCCCAGGCAGAGTGGAGAGCCTTCTGTGTTCAGACGATTTCAACACACTTATCAATAATGCAGGAGGTGTGGAGAGACAGGGATTGCATATCGCCCTCCACGGGTCACATGCTGACAGAAAAGCACAGCGTGTCCTCAGACACTAGAACGCCAACTGCTTAATGCTAAATATGTGATGATTACAGCAACTGTCATTGTACTGGAACGCAGGTAGCTACAACCTAGCACAGGTAAAACCAATGTATTTCTTTGGACCCCCTACTACCTTCAAACAGGTTAAGGTGCACAGGCAGAGAAGTAGCTTCCATACTGGGCACTGGAAGAGGATACAGCAGAACAGGTGGCTAAATAAAGCCCAATTTCACCTTTGACCTGCCTCCAAAGGGAAATTGGAGCCAGGGCATTTAGAAACGAAGGGGGATTTAGGTTACCAATGCCCCTATTCCCCTTTCCTGGAACAATCTACAGTGGCTATTAATGAAGGGGCAGCCTAAGCAATAAAAACAGAAAGATGATGAGACAGTGCCACGTGTGAGGCATTTGGACAGTGGGATGCTCATGACAGGCCACCAGACTGACTGTGACAAACTGGCCTTACTGGGAATCACAGCTGTGTTCGAGCAAGAAAAGACATGATGTGTGCTTTCTAATTTCTGAGTGTGTTCATTTCCTGTTTGGTCCTGGGCTCTCGTCAAAGACAGGGGTGGATGTTACAGTGTAAAAATGTATCTAGGCACAGCACAACTACATGGTGGCAGTTAGTGGGAGACTGTTCAACTCCTAAAGGTGAATCATGCTCACGACGTGGCATGATTGTCTCATTCAACTGCCCACTCCGTTGCTTTCAGAGCAGATAGCTGATTCACCCATGACATCCTTTCAATGCATAATAAGAGAATAAAAGTGAACTGAAAGCAAAGATCCTGAAACTACGATACAAAGTTGGAACCATTGTTACATCTCCTCCCAGTAAGGGTGTGAAGCCTAATTTATTATTACTTGTACTTTGTATGAAAGAATGACACATGGCCTCTCAAGGTGTATCCAACTCGTGTGTCATCACACACAGACATCTGCCTAAATGTTGCTGCTTCTACATATTAACGGCTGAGGCAGAATGAGGTGAATTTGACCCCTGCTTTCTGAGATTATGTCAATCAGACAGGACTGCCACATATATTCCAGCATGACTCACCTACTTTAACTCACTGAGTTCACCTTCTACACCTGTAGATGACACATACAAACTGAATCTATGTGAACACTGATGCACACAGAGTAATAGTCACAAGGCCAGATGTTAATGAGGAATTCCTCTGCTTTTCATTTATAGTAAATATTCCCACCAGAGGCACATCTTTGACTTAAAATGGCAGACACATTCTGCAGCCTAATAAACAACGTCATCACTCTGTCTTTCTCAACCATGGCAACAGGTACAGGACCAGATTCTGGTTGCCATAACAACCTCAACTTGGCACGGGAGGGGAGGATGCGGCACACTGCGTTCTGTTTTCTCTCGCCTCAAGCATTCCCTATCACTGCTCTGTAGAAATTGTATATATACATACATACGTGTGTATGTGTGTGTGTGTGTGTGTGTGTGTGTGTGTGTGCGTGATATTTATTAAACAGTGATTTCAGAATTTTAATCCTTTAAAAACCCTGAAACATACAAAAAGGCACAGTGTGAAAAGCTTTAGGATTTGTAACTAAGACATTAAGCTACTTATCATGTCAGACTCCATAAGCAATACCAGAAACTTTTACTGCACAAAAACCTTTTAAATGCGTTGTAAATGGAAAATGTAATAATTAGGATGTTGTGATGAAGCAAAAAAGACAAATAGTTTATCATTTCAGGAACCTTTTGAGAATGAAGGTAGTGTTACACATTGACTGGCTGCATATCAGGAAACACTAAGCTGAAGTTTGACAGGATATTTAACATTGTAAGCAGGGGTACCCTGAAAGCGGAATGGTTACAACCAATGCCAAATAACCACAATGTCTACAATTTGATTCTGGCCGAGGACCTTTGTTGTAAATTATAACCACTCTCTCTAACGTTGTTTCCCTTTCTGTATCTTCTCCAAGAACTGTCCAATAAAGTGCCAAAAAATCAATTTAAAAAAACATTATGAGTAACAGAACAACATTAAGGAGTATTTTATCATTACTGTGTTGCCATCTGGGTATCAAACACTGAACTTCCCTTATTAGAAAAACGGAAGACATGCAAAAGATGACATGTGGGGGACTACGTAGGGGAAACAATTCTCTCAAGACAGAGATATTTAGTCAGAACCCCATGCTCAGTGAAAAGATACAAACTACTGAGTGACATATGAGGGCAAGTCAAATGTTTATTTTTCCAAAATGCCACAGTTCTGCATTTTCAGTTCCTGCTTGTAAGAATATAGGGCTGATAGGATGTTGGCACTCCACAGGAGCTTTCCATTTCAAGGCAGAGTGAATACCAGTTAACTAACCACATCCTTCTATCTAAAGAACATCACTCAGCTGGTTGTAGCCGGCAGACATTTTGTACTCCAGTGTTCACCATGGGGCCTATAATCTGGCCAGGAAAGCAAAGACACCCCTCAGTAATTAGGTTGTTAGGAGGTCTCTGAGCACCAGATGGGAACTGAAAGCTAGCCCCCATTCACCTGAGACTAGAAGATAAGCAGGGTCTAAAATGGCTGAACATATCAGCGTGTCTCTTCCAGTAACCTACAAGCTGTTAGTTCAAACTGATCGATGCCTGCCAGGCATCACAGGAAGAGGATAAGGCCATAAAATAGATGCATATGTAAAATATAAAAGAAAACATGTGCATGAACTGCTGAGGGAACCCAGGCATTCGGAGAAATAATATCTGGGCAGAATTGTAATTACCATGTGTGCTTCTTTCAGCGAGACTGAGGAATTTTAATAGCTTCCCCGGGGTCTGTATATATACGGGCAGCAGTGTGATGTAACAGCTGACTTCTGAAGAATACTATTTCAATTAATTCACTCACAGGACTGCCATTTTCTACTAAATGTTGCTTCCACCAGCAACAAACAGCCCCAACCATGTGCACTCATTGCATATGTAATAATGGAAACATATGACAATTTAGCCACAACTTAACTGTAGAGAGATGATATAAAAAAGTAATATAAAGTCATTGCCAAATTCCATTTCTAGAGGCAGTTGACAGAGACAGGCAAGTAGTTTCAAAAAAAGTTGTGCACAATTTAAATGTGACTCAGCTTCTTTATATTCTGCTATTAATAGATGCTGTTTGATATAGTAATATGAAATGAACAGATTATAATTTACCTCATTATTAAAAAAACAATTATATTTTAAAAAAGTGTGTTGTATCATACAGGTATGGGAGTATATACAGGATTTAAATGTCCTGTCCTATCACAATGTCAGGTAGAAACTGATGCTATTACAGCGCTAATGCTGTGTACCACAATGCAAA